TCAGCTGGTTCCCAACTTATTAGAAGGTGCTCCGTAAAATTCTCCTGATCATCCCAGCCATCTGGGAAGAGTGGGTAATCTGTTAGGCTTCCCATTCCGTTGAGTGGAGAGTATGACGATATGATGTTTGGTCTTAGTTTCGGAGTACGGAATAGACATCGAGACAGAAAAGGAGGAATTTTTTCTTTTTTTTTTCCTTTTTTTTTCTCTTTCAAATTAAAATTAAAAGGATTTAATTAGCTCCCCGATCTGACTATTTTTTCAGTCTACATCAACGGGAGTACGGAGTAGGTTCATACTAGTATATAGGTCTCGGGGAGGCGCAGAGGTACCGCGGAGCTATAAGGCGAGATCTATCATCTCACTAATTTACACTAAAACCATAGCTCTGGGAACCAAAAAAAAAGTCGATCTTCCTTACCTTATACGGGTGAAGTATCCCTTAGCGCCCCCTCCTACGGGACTAAAAGGCCTAAAGCCGTTCCCGGGGGCCCGGTGGTCAGGACCGTGGGTCTCGAGGAAATCAGTTTGGTATGTATCAGAAGTCTTTTTTACCCTTTTCCTTTTTTCTTGTTGGATCTGGGGGATGGATCTGTCGAATCAAAGATGGTACTTGAACTTTCTTTTTTAATTAGGTATGTATTATGTTTCTGTGTGTTACAATTCAAAATCTGATCTGATCAATCCTTATTAGTCGTACTCCGTATAAATCCTATAAATCCTACCTATGAATCCCTATCAGAACATGTTCTTTTTTGCCTATACTAGAGTCTCTTAGAATCCGGACAATATATTAGTACAGACAAGAAAATCCAAATCAAATAAGTCAATACATCGAATATATCAAAAAAAAAAAGAGGGAATGACGATGTACCGATTTCTTCCCATTGGTTCCACCCCCTTTCCTTACCTCCGGGGGGATTCTTCCGCTTCCCCCTACTCTTCTTAAACGGAAATGTCAGGTTTCTACAGATCCACATACAATAAAGGGTTTTTATTTTATTTTTATTAAATTGAAAATGAAATTCAAATAAATTCAGAAAAGAAAAATAATTACAATAATAAAGAAAATCCTGACCCACTTCGTTCGTCTTTATCCTGATCCAATGTTTGCCAACTGCATCCTGTACAGCTGTAACCGAAATGTCTAGTTGTGATGCTGAACAGTTGACGTTTTAGTTCTTTGGCGCCTGATCATTTCTATAATTTCGATATTTTCTATAATTTCTATAGACCTATCCACTGTAAAACTACTTATTATAACATCTTCCCCTTTCCCTCAATTTTTCCTTTTACTCTTCAATCTACTTTTGACATCTTCACTCTTGGCTTTTATAGATCCTTTCCTTCTTGAGTACCAAACCCCATTATCTCTCTATAAACTCTCCGGAATCCCTTGCTGTTGTCTCGTACGCAATCTTCCACCCTACCTTATCGGATCTTGATAGAATTTCAAACCGCAGGGGGAGCAATGCTGAAGCCCTAAAATCAAAAGACGCTGCTCCTTGCTCCGATTACCATTACATTCTCTCCCTTTTACTCTGGGGAAATTAAGGGAGACAAAAGCACCATTTATCCGGTACTTTGTTCCTACTCTATTTTTTTTTTCTGAGCTATACAATCTAAAAGGGAAGCGGGGAGTCTTGAAACCTCTGTGAAATCCCCTTGTGTCTGCTTCCAGCTCATTTCGACCTTCAATTCTCTCCAACTTCACAATGTTTCAACGTCTAGCCTGTTTACTGGGCCGACGCTCCCGCAATGGCTCTAGTGATGACTTCTCTACATTCCCAATTCGGCAATTATTTGTGTTAGGTAAGTGGTACTTTTGTTCTGCGAACTATGAAAAACAAAGGATATGGACAGCCGCAAAAATGCGCCGCAACCCACATCTATACAGTGATCTTGATTGCTGACGAAAGTGATGCAGCACTTGTCCGAATCTGTGAACCGATTGCTTTCATGTCAATTTTCCCATACGTGTATCACATGGTCGAATCATTCCATGTGACGGATAACGACCGCCAAATCGCCCTGTACGCCGGCATGATCACCTCCTCATTCACCTTTGCTGAGTTTTCTGCGGGCATGTTCTGGGGTCGCATGAGTGATCGGATTGGTCGTAAGCCAGTCCTCATCATGGGCCTCCTGGGCACGGCCATCAGCATGGTGGTATTCGGATTTGCGCCCAATCTGGCCACGGCGATGATTGCGCGCGCACTGGGCGGCATGTTGAACGGGAATATCGGGGTTCTCCAAACGACGGTTGCGGAGATCGTGACGAAGAAAGAGCATCAGCCACGAGCTTATTCGATTATGCCTTTCGTGTGGTGTTTGGGATCGATCATTGGACCGGCTATGGGCGGCGCTTTGGCCCAGCCCTGCGACAACTACCCGGCCCTCTTTGCACGCAGCTCGCTGTGGGATAAATTCCCGTTCCTGCTGCCCAACCTCGTCTGCATCACTGTGCTGGTTTGCGGGATCGTAGTCGGTTTCCTGTTTTTGGAGGAGACGCACCCGGAGAAGAAGCATCGTCGTGACCCTGGTCTCGAACTCGGCCACTGGTTGGTCAACCTGTGCTGGGGCTCGCGCGTGCAGCTTCCCGATCATTCCGACGTGGACGTCAAGGAGAAGTACTTTGATGCACCGCCTGGATACGAAACTGCGGAATCATCGCCTTGCCTGCGTCCCGTCGATGACGGCGTCTCGGCTGATTGTGACTTGGAGGGGCAGAAGAGCCCCGCGCCCAAGGCCTTTACCCGACAAGTCATCCTCGCTATCGTTGCTTACGGCATTCTTGCATAGTGAGTTGGCTCCTCTCTCCCCGCTTTTTCAACGCCACACCCTTCTGCCCGATACTTTTAAACCATTTACTGACGTGCATTGCCCTATTCCAGCCACAGTGTTTCCTTTGATCAGCTGATGCCGGTTTTGCTGAGTACACCAAGATCCGATGATGACATAGTGCTACCCCTCAAGTTTACCGGAGGCCTGGGAATGGCCACGAAGACCATCGGGTTTATGCTCGCTGTGCAAGGCGTGTACTCGATGATCGCCCAACTGTGGCTGTTCCCATTTGTCGTGAAGCACTTTGGTACTCTGCGCACCTTCCGCTTTGTTTTGCTTGTATGGCCCCCTCTCTACTTGGCCGTGCCCTACCTTGTCCTTCTTCCGGCCAAGCTCCAAACGTTCGCCGTCTATGTGTCTTTGATCAGCAAGATTACATTCCATGTCATCGCTTTCCCAGCCACTGCCATTCTCTTGGCCAATGCCGCTCCGTCTTCCAAAGTGCTGGGCTCTATCAACGGTGTTGCCGCCTCAACTGCTAGTCTCAGCAGGGCCTTTGGTCCGACCATCACCGGTCTTCTCCACTCCAAAGGTCTGGATAGTGGATACTCCGTGCTGGCCTGGTGGGCCTGTGGTATTGTCTGCCTGATCGGCGCCATCCAAAGTTTCTGGATGGAGGAATCCCCGGAGCCTGAGCGCTTCAAGACTCGTCAGCCTGAGGTCAATGAGTCCGAGATGAAGCGAGAAGCCCTCTCGGACTTTGGCAATCAGGACCAGGACTCTAACACTGACGAGTTGCCAGAGGAAGAGCAGCGGTTGCTTTCATTGCGCTCTAGTGTCGACCATGACTTCGACATTTCCCAACTCAACTTGAACGCTGTCGACGACTTCCCAAAGCCCCAAGCCGATGTCAACCACGATACCAATGTCTAAAACTGTGAAAGTTGCCTGTTTTGCAGCATCACTTTTACTTTCTCCCTATCCTTCTGGAAAGGCATATTCATTTCAGCGCGGAGGCGCAACGCGGATTCCTCTTTTTTTTTTCCTGTTTCCTTTTTCCTTTTTCATTTTTCCCCGTCATGATACCTCATTTTGCTATTTCATTCTCATGGCTTTTCAGGCCGGGAAACGGCGCAATTATAGATGGTTGCATTGCATGTGCAGAAGCATAAAATTTGGGTCTCTTCTTTTTTTATCTTGGAGCATCAACAGGTTATATTATGACTATACTCATGTGCATCTGGGAGGTTATTGTCTTTTTGTTCTCGCTTTGGATCTGAGTTCTCTCGAAGATCGTTTGTCGGTTAGAGTATCTTGCTACAAACTCGCTCAATATTAACGGCCGTCACTTCTCGTCTTCTCTATAAACGTTGATCATCTCCTAGTCTTGTAGTCTGGTATTCTCATGGCCTACTCTCCTGGTCTCCTAGCGTGTTTCACCCCTTCTCTGGACTGCAGACAATTGATTTCACAGGTGAAGCATATAGTGTTTCCCGACGGTGTTCGGTTAATTAAACAATTAATCCCTCGCATTAGCAGGGTTATAGAACCAAGCGCATCTTCCATAAATTTCCTCTTGCCGCTCACCCTGTCCTATACACATCCCCATACATCCCATGTCTTATGTATGTCGTACGTCTTGACAGCGGGAGTGGGGGAGGTCCACCAAATCCCCCCCAATCCCCCCAAATGAAGCTATATGAGATTCAAACTCCAAAATCCAAGCAGAAGTCCCGTTAAAGTCCCACAAGAGCCCCGTGAAAATCCCACAAAATCCCATCAAGGTCTCATTATAGCTCGGCATGTCAAAATCTGGGGAACCCGAGATCCTCTTCCCGAGGGCAACTCAATTTCCCAACTCCACCACGCTCGTGCACTACATGGTTTCTTCTCTTCCCCATATTCTCACAGGTTTCGTCTATGGGCTGTGCTGCAATTATTTCCCGGAGAATAGTCTAAGGGGTTTACAAGCTGCTCCCAAATTCCCCGTTGCGGGCCAATCTCTCTTGATTTTTTTGCCCCGATTGGCACGATTCACACCATAATCTCCAATTGCCGAAGAAAACGCTATCACAGACGAACATTAAAAGTACTCCGCGGTCTTATCATGTTGATGTGGTCTGGGGGAGATAAACCGCACTTCCCGACCGCAGTCCCCGCAAAACTCCACCAAGAGATGATCGCGACTCTGCGGCTCTCGTCTTTTGGTTCTCACAATGCCTAATCCCCCCTCGCCGCCATCGCCAGTCTCTTCAGGCAAGAAGAGACCACATCCCTCCGACACTCCGCCAACGCAAACCGACCCCGCGACCAATACCGCGCCCAAACCCTCCGCGACGGCCGAGCCCTCCATCTCGCCCGCCCATTCAACCGCCGCCCCCGCCTCGTCCGCTTCCTCGTTCCGGAATGTCTCCGCCTGCAATCGTTGTCGACTGCGCAAGAACCGCTGCGACCAGCGCCTCCCGCGCTGCCAGTCCTGCGAGAAGGCCGGCGTGCGCTGCGTCGGATACGACCCTATCACCAAGCGGGAGATCCCGCGCAGCTATGTCTATTTCCTGGAGTCGCGCGTAGCACATCTCGAGAAACAATTAGCGGATAACAATATTGAGTTTAAGAAGGTCGTCGCTTTCGACGAGGAGGAGGCTATCAAGGTCGAGGCTGATGGCGACGCTGCGCAAGCTCGTCCTGGTTCTGACGCTCAGGCCCGGGAGGGGTCAGCAGAGAAAGCACGGTTGAAGAACACATCGAAAGAAGAAGCTGATCGACTAGGGCGCAGAGGAGAGGGGGATAATCGCGATGCGGACGATGACCCGTCTACCGAGGATAATTGGCGTCTACAGAATCTGGTTTCGAATATCGGCATGGTCTCTGTACAGGGTACTTCCGATCCGCGATATCTGGGGTCGACGTCGGGCATTTCTTTTGCCCGTGTTGTCTTCGCTGCGGTAAGGAGCTCACTCCCCGGTAACATGCCGGAGCGTGCAGCGATTCGAACGAGCGATCGATTGCCTCAGAGTGCTGCTGGCACTGCTGGGGGAGGGGGTAGTATGCGCGATTCCTTCTTCGGGCTGCAGACAAGACCGATGATGAAATGCGCGACTTTCCCTGACCAGGAGCTAGCTGAACGGCTGGTTGATCTTTACTTTGAACACGCGAATCCTCAGATGCCGATTCTCCACCGGGGAGATTTCATGGAGCTGTTGGATAAGACCTATTTGTTAGAAGAGAAGAAGCGTTCTCCGCGTGCGCTTTATGTGCTTAATATTGTATTTGCTATCGGTGCTGGTATCATCTTTGAGGATAAGCCTCAAAGCTCGGATGATGAGAATCGCAGCAGTCGTGGCCGGTCCTCGTCTGGGACGAAGAGACCGAGACTCTCGAGCCATCAGTACCAGCCGGAGGAATACCATGCCTCGGCAATCGTTCATTTAGAATCGTTCCTCGGTTCGTCCTCCAGCGAGGGCTTTGGTGGATTGGAAGAGCTGCAGGCAGTGCTCCTTCTAGCCAGCTTTGCCCTATTGCGACCCGTTGCACCGGGTCTCTGGTATATCGTCGGTGTGGCCACGCGCTTAGCCGTCGACCTTGGGCTTCATTACGAGGATGGAGCGGGCATTGACTCTTCTACGAAAGACGGCAACCAAGCACAGTCACGGATCGATGCTCGTGAACGTGGACGACGCGAATGGGTGCGCGATATCCGTCGTCGGTTGTGGTGGTGCGTCTACAGCTTTGACCGTCTGGTAGCTACGTGTGTTGGACGACCATTTGGCATCAGTGATCAGGCCATCAGCACAGAGTTCCCGTCTATGATGGACGACAAATACATCACCAAGTCCGGTCTTTTGACACCACCGGACGGGGCCCCTACATATAAGCATGTCGCATTCCACTATTTCAAACTACGCCTTCTTCAATCCGAGATCCACGATGTCCTCCAATACCAACAGACGCGCGCTGTGCGGAAGAGAGGCCCTGGTGCATCTATTCTTCCGCACGCTGAGCTTTCCTCTCCTTTCCTTCAGGGCTTTGACTCGTTCCGCTCGTGGCGCTATGATGTACATCGTCGGTTGGTCGAGTGGCAAGAGACTGCCCTATACGCCCGGAAACAGGCGTGAAATTCCCCATTGAGCTGCTGGAGTTGAATTACTGGCAAGCTATCATTTTGCTGTACCAGCAGAGCTTGACGGTTCCTGCTGAATTGGCGGGGGAACTTACTCCTGCAGATGACGTTTCTAGTCCGTCCTTTTCTAATCCTGATGAAGGTGACGAGGAGGATCATGTCTATCTCAATGTTGCCGAGGCTGGTCAGAAGGTCATTCGTATCTATCGCCAATTGCATAGAGTACGCTTGGTGAATTATACCTATCTTGCTACGCATCACATTTTCATGGCTGGTATGCAGTTGTTTCTTTGGATTTTCTCCGCTCTATTACTGACACTCTACAGGAATCTCCTTCTTATATGCCATTTGGCATTCGCCTTTGGTTCGAAGCCGCCTAGTAGGTACCACCAGCCCTGGAATTTAGGCTCCGGCTTATTCTAACGCTCTCTTCTCTTAGACCCTCGATGAAGTCGACTTCACCGTTCTCGCCGCAACTTCTGTTCTGGGTGACCTGATGCACAAATGTCCACCTGCGGAGGCATGTCGGGACGCGTTCGAGCGCATGAGCAAAGCAACCGTCCAGATGTGCCTTTCAACAACCGGATTCGGATCACAGGTAGACATGAGCCGTATCTACGCCGCATCAAACACCGGCAGCTCACTCCACCCCGGCCGGCCGCGACAGCCTATGGACCAACGACACCGCGCAGGCCAAGGGCAATCCCGGCGAGCGACGCAGACACGCCCGTCCCGTCCCACCCCAAGTTCGATATGAACTTGGCTGATCTCTTCAACGATAATACCCCCTTAGCCGACCACTCTCGACCCGAAAACAGACCCGGAGGGCCATCCTGCCCCCAACCAGAAACGATGGCCCCCAACTTCCCAGCAGACCAGTCTTCCCGGTCTTATGGACAGCGCAATCCATCGATGGATTACTATCTCAAGTACGAGAACCCAAACTCCCCACAACCGAACCCGCAATTTTATTACTCGAACTCGCCGCAACATAGTGGCTCCCCCCGGCAGCAACGCTCAAACTCATGGTTTGCCGTCTGCCGACACCGAGGCTCCGCAGGGCATGAGCCTTGATTTCTTGGATTTTGGCTCGGGCGATGCTGAAGGCCAGGGTAATATGGAAGGAGAAGGCAATCCTGATTACAATATGCTGGGTGTGCCGTCATTGGGTCACAACCTGGGCCAAAATGTTGGAATCGATCTTGGCTTTGGTATGGCTATGGACTTCCAGCATGACTGGAGTGAGAATCCTAATTACGATCTTTTGGAGGGCTATTTCTTTGGTGGTTCTGGGGCCGGCGCACCTGGAGGGGATGTCTAGGATATCTAGTGTTTCTCCTGGTTTATTTCTTTTTGTTCGTCTTCTTTTACATTCCTTCCATTCCCCTACTCTGCCTCTTTCTTTCCATTTCCTATAGGCCTGGGCTTAGCAAGGGTTGTATAATTCGGCGTGATTATTCTTTTCCCCCTAGTTTTGGTTACCATCTATATATGTATACCCAAATATAAAGAGCTGCAAGGAAAGGAAATAATTAATTCCAGGGTTAACAATATCAAGAATCGTACTCCATATACTCCGTAGTATGTTGTAGTTGCCTTGCATTGATATGTTTGGCCTCGGGCAGCAACGTCAAAACAAACACTCCCGCCTTTTATTTTTTTTTCTCAACCCAACACCCGTGGATACCTAGGTAATTCCTGAAATGTTCTCCATTCATTGACACTCACCGCACAAAAGAACCCTGCAGCCCTGTTGGCTGCTTCACTCCGATCTGCGCTTGGACCCAACTGCCTGATCTCGACATCAGGTGCCCACTCCGATCTCCGATTTTCTATTCAAGTCACCTCTGCCTCCCTACACCCCGCTTCACTCTCCTGGTCTCACTGAAGACCATCTTCAATCGCCGCAACCCCTCATACAAATTCCCGAACTGTCTCTCCCAAGCAGAGCTCTCACTAGCGCTTTTGGACTGGATCCTGCGGCCAACCGAGACCGCGGAGCATACAAGGAGGCTCTGCCCTTTCTTTTTTTCCCACTGAAGTGAACCCAGTCTCGCAACATTTGGCGGGTGAGACTTTAACTTTGCTAGGATTGCAGGACATAGCATTTTTGTTCTGCTTGCCTGGTCTTGTTCAAAACGCCCTGCCTTCGTGCAACGTGCTTTTTACCTTACTCTTGGCTGATCTTCTATGACTGGACATGCGTGGGACCGCCGATTATTTACTTGAACATCGATTATGCAATTCGAGCTTATCATCACTGTATAAGTTCGCCGGAAACTCACGAACAATATGGTGAAAGCAGACGTGCGCAAGGATTACTATGCGGACCTTGGGCTCCAACCCAGCGCGGAGGCCGAGGACATCAAAAAGCAATTCAGGAAACTAGGTTAGCTTTGCAGAAGCTATGTCATAAAATTGGGGTCATTGCTGACTTATGGGAAAGCACTCAAGTACCACCCGGACAGGAACCCAGGACGAGAAGTCGAGTTCAACGCGAAATTCCAAGCCATCCAGGCCGCCAATGAGATCCTCAGTGACCCCTCGCAACGACTGAAATACGACACCGATCGTTTACGCGCAGGCTATGGAAAATGCTACGGACCACCCAAGGCAAATACCCAGCGCAAAACACAACCCCCCACCTACCCTCCTCGCCCTACACCAACTTCGGCGTCTACAAATTCACAGTACGCGAAGGCGAGCCCGAGTACCCCATCGGCTGGCGCTCGAAGATACGCATCTCATGCACGTGCCGGTCCGCAGCAGTTCAAACAACAGGATAATGCGCAAACAAGGGCCGATGCATTCCATGGCTTTAATAATATGAGAGGAGGTCAGGCATCTGGATGGCAGGGCTTCGATCCTTCAACTGGCCGTGCCACTGGCGGTGTCCCAGGTCCTGGGGCACAGCGTCATCCCTTTGGAACTTCTGCACAATCTACCCGGCCCAAGTCTGCCTTTGAGGCCCACAATTCCCATTCCAACGCACAGTCTTTCAAGAAAAAGCAGGGATTTGCACCAGGCGTGGCTGGAGGAGATGAGCCGATGGCCCGCAATACTTCTGCCTATAGCAATAACAGTCGAACCGAACGGATGAGCAGCCAATACTTCAAGCCTGCTGTTCCCCCAACTGCGAAGAAACCAACATCACCTGAACCGTCTCAACCCAATCCTCGCCATTCATACACCCCGGAGTTTCGAACGACCCAGTAGAAGCTATGCGCAGGCAGGCAAGGGTGAGAAGACTTTCTTTTCAAGCACTGGCTTAGGACGTTCAGCCACCATGCGTACCCCCTCAGGTTCCCATCAAAACGCGCATACAGGTAAAAGTCCAGCCTCTGGCAGATCTGGGAGATACCGTAGCGTCAGCCCCTCTCCCAGGCGGAATGCCAATAACTATGATTCTACCAGCTCGAGTGAAGGGGAAGAGCCTAGGCCCAAACCGAAGGCTGTGCCGAAGAGCCGACTTGGGCAGCATCAAAAGTTTGCCGACTTCCACAACCCAGGAACAGCAAGCCCCGGAAATGGTATGGACTTCGACTCCTTTCTCCTCGCAAATGGGTTTCAAGCCGTCGAGCTACCTGATGGTAGCTACGAACTCCATTCGCTGTCTCGGAAATGCCCCCTTAATCAACGTACCCCTGCTGACAAGGACGGCCCCAAAGGACACACCTCGGACAGTGCTGCTTTCCCAAAAAGCTCGTACCGATCGGACCATCAGCCCAACCCATCGGGTTCTTCCTCTTCTGTCAAGTATGTTCGATATGCCTACTATCAAGCCGCTTCGCCCTATCTGACAGACACCGGTTTTAGCACTGACCCGCCAAACAATACGGAAAGGCCCCAGTCTGCTGCGTATGAACGTGGCAGCACAAGTTACTTGCACAAGAAGTTTTCTGCAGACGATTGGCGCGATCATTTGGATCAGTTCGATTTCATAGGCTCTGCCTCGCCAAACAAGGAGTCACTTCCGAGATCGCCTGCCTCGCAAAATCGGGGCCGTACCAACTTCCGAAATGGACCGACACAGGCATCCTCGACGGGATCGCCGATTCCCAATCCTTTCGGTCCTACTCCACTGTATCAAACTGCACAGCAACAGCAACCACCAACACCCTTTGCACAGGCAAAGTTCTCTGCAGATTCGTGGTCCGAACAGCTTCGAAATCTCTCATGGACTGTACCGGAGGTCGACAAAACTAAACAAACGGCAAGTGCTGCGCCACGTAGTCCAAAGAAACAGACCAGGGCAGGCACCAAATTGCGGAGCGCTCCCCAGCCGGCAAGCGTTGCTACCGAAGCAGATGAAGCTAAAGAAACTGTCAATGGCCAGACTCCTCCTGAACCAGCCTGGGCAGCAGCACCGGACGTTGAGGAAATGGACCTTGACGAGGACCTTCCTACTCCGGGTGTTCCGCCGAATGTCCCAGTTGGGAAACCAAGCAATGGCAGCTATCCTGATTTGGCTTCTCAGGCCGTACCAAATGTTCCTCCGGTCAAGAAGTCCAGGCCTCCTTCGAGCACCGACGCCCGTACCCCTCTATTTAACCTCAATAATCTCCGCAATACTGTACCCTTTACGCAGACCACCGGCGGAGGCATCGAGAACCTTGAAGACTTCCACACCACTCTTCCCTTCGAATCCCAAGCAAAGCAGCAAAAGACCACAAAAGACGACATCCGACCCCGCGCACTCCAACTCCCAAACCCACCCAAACGACCTTGGGCCCCGAAGCCAGTCACCCTGGGCCCAACCTCTAAGCAGCTCGTCCTCCCACGGGACAAATGGAATTGGTATGTCTCTGCAATGGGGGCATACATGCACGAATGGAACGCATTCAATGGCCGCATGCTCACACATTTCAATGCGCGCCAAGAAGCGAACGCAACCGGTCTCGCACCGGGCTGGATCAGTGCCGTTGGAGATTCTACCCGTCTCAAAATAAACGGCGCAGACGACAATGACGACGGCACGACCAAGAAGGATTTTGATGACTATCATATTGATGAATTCCTCGTCCCTGGTACCAGTAAGGGCGGCTTTAGTGCCTATCTCCGTGGTATTGAGGAAGATATCCAGGTGCGTAAGCATTGGGAAGTTGCCTGTGAGATGCATCGAGAGTGTATCCTTGACCTTGGACGATTGAGAGAGTGGATCCGAGATGGCGGCAAGGTGGTTTGAGTTTAGTCACTATAGCCTTTCCACGATGATTGGAAAGCTATTACTGAAGCTATGTCTTCGGTTTTAGTTTGAGAGGCTCGGCACTATTTGATCAGACCTGTTTCCTGCCTTCTATCTTCTCCATTCTTGTTTCCTTTTTCACTTCTATTGATGTCTTCTACCTGTCTTTTTGATCTCTCTCTCTCTCTTTTGCGATGCATAATGACTGGTGTTATTGTGAATACCCGGGATTTTTATCACATCTGCATAGATATACCTGACGCTTTCATCGGGTTTCTATCATCGGTGTTTCCTCTCATGGATTTGTTCAAGTAGGATTGGATTTGTACTCAGGTACTAGGAGGGTTTATGTGATTCAACTTAGCCAATGCATAATTATTCATGTGCTTTCGTCTCATTCCAGATCCTGGTCATATGTTCGTGATCCAATCGGTCTATAATAAGCCCCGGGAGTGCTCTCAGAGTACTCCGTGCACATGCTTCAACCTCGGAGAGAGACGTTGATAACTTCAGTGTTCTGATATAGCTAGTCACTATCTCGCTCGAACTGCTATTGATAGAGGCTTTTTAAGATCAGAAACACGGTGGGCGACTAATCTTTGAAACGAAAAAGCCTCGCTATGAGAACTTTAACTCTGTATTCGAGACCAGCTTTTATAGTTTAGTTGTTCAATATTCATATTGCGGGAAACCAAATGGCCCTAGAATATATGCAAAATGCTTCAACGGTTGCTCTGGAACGTGCTGAGAAAGCTCCCTAACCAGATGCAGTCTTGTGCATCCCTGTAGTAACGTTACTACTGGCCGCTTGGCTCGTTATTCTTCTCATCAAAACATATACACAAGGCAGCAATCAGTGCCGCGTCCACACCAGGTGCAATAACAACGGCGTACGTCTGCTGACCAAACACAAGGTCGCGGCCGCTGAGCAGTTTCCGGTCAATGCGAGCCACTGTTTGGCCGCTCTTATCATCGACAATATCAGCACTTTGATCATACCAGCCTCCTTTCATCTTAAGAGCCACCGCTTTACCGCGACTATCAGTGAAAGTGGCAGTGGCCTTGGAGCCGAGCACTAGTGCAAGTCAGCAATGTCCTTTGTTATTTCGAATGCTCATAGGACATAAGTATCATAGAATACAGAACGTACACGCAAGACTACTCTTCACCTCACACATCTTCTTGTGATGGGTGTCTTCGAGCGCATACGTCGTGTGGATATGCAGATGCTCCTTGACAATATCAAATAGGTGATTTCCCTGGGCGTCCTCGACCTTCTTGCGACCAGAAAGTGACATCCAGGCTCCGCGCACTTTTATAAGCGGCGCCCCATTGGCAAATTTGATTTCGAAGCTGTCTCCAGAAATGGAGAATACCTTTTCTCTTAGGACTATTGTCTGCGGCTCCCTCGAGACATATTGTTCGAATAGGGCGATAGGTTCGGCGACAGGGTCGAGGTTGCGGTGGCCCAGGATACCCATGGTGACAGGTAGATACGATTAAAAGTAGATGTGATTAAAGCCCAGAGATAAATCGATAATCACATGAAAATCGATCAGGAGAGGGGCACAGCTGCACAGCTGAACCCGATCGTCGCGTCATGTGACATATAACCCGTGACATCATTTAGTTTCCGAATGTTTATTGCGTGTTTTTGCGTGTCTTTTGTAGCATGTACATGTATCGAGCTCAGTACCGGCATCATTGGCGCCTCTACCTGGTGTATTCATTACTTTTCTGCGATAACTCTATGAATCCCTGAAGTCGGTGCAAGGCCTGGTAGTCAGGCATTCTATAGTACCCAAATCTACCGTCGACTGGGCATTTACAAACATCGGGCACCCTCGGATGCAATTAACCGAGACCCGTTAGCTGAATGTAACAGAATGTCCTAGCACGGGGTATGGATTTTACTCAGAGCGCTTGCCAGCGCGCTCAGGGACGGTTTGACACATCCGCCATGGTGAATGACAGCCCACGTTTGCGCGCGACCTCGCAACCGCATCGCCCCGACGGAATCACCACCGATCCGCAAAAAATTGTTGTCCGCCGCGATACTGCCCGCCTCTAACCCGAGGATCGATGCCCACAGGTTCTGCAATAACCGCTCCATCGCCGTCGTCGCCGCCCGCCGTTTACTACGCGCCGGCTGCAGCGCCGTCAGCTGCTCCCTCGTCAGCGCGCCGCCGATCTCGCGAAGTCACCGCCGGTGCCAATAAACAGGCCTCAGCCACCTCTGATGAATTCGATGTGCCCTTGCAAGTAAACGCGGACATCCAGTATATCTGGATGCAATGGGCTGATTATACCGCAACAGTCAGGGTACGCATGTTCCCCATCGATGACTCCAACACATACCATGGGGACAGCATTTGAATAGAAGACCGGAAAAACAATCAACGCACAACTATTGTGTATTATGATTGGAGCACGACAGAAATTATCTACAAAGGCTAACGCCTAGGAACGGCGCTTCTTATCTAAGTGTCTGAATCAATAGTACTCCATATTAGGATCTAGCTATTTCAATCCCCTCCGCCTCACCTGCACTCGGAAGTTAGTGGGTTTGACAAACCAGTGATTACATGTCTCCCACTCCTCATCTGGAAAAGCAAGTTGGAAATCAAATTTATGCACGAGTACTGGAATCAGTTTGGACATTTCCAGATATGAAATGTGCCTTCCTAAACATGTGCGAGATCCCAAGCCAAACTACATCCCGCCCGAGGATATGGTTGCATCAGCTAATGCTTCATTGCATCGGTTTCGCAGGCAACGTGGAGCACTCACCGGCATGTAATGGCTTTCCATTTTCCTTAGCGTGGCTTGATCTGCCTCAAGCCATCTCTCTGGCCGAAACAAATGCACATCGCTTCCCCAGACGCTCTCGTCGTAATGAGCAACCCATGAGTTAATACCGACGACATCTCCGGCACGGAATTGTCTGCCACATATATATGCCCCTGTTTCCGGTACCTCTCGCCATAATGGGAGACCGGTGACTGGGTGCAATCTTAGACCCTCTTTGATCACAGCTTGTAGATACCGCATTTCTTGTGTCTGCCGGAATGTGATGTGCCCTGTGCCGGATCCATCATGTTGACCAAGTTCTGCTATCTCTGCTCGTAGGGTCTGCATTGATTTGGGGTTTTTTAGAAGATGGTAGAGGATAGAGCTCAGGCTCACGGCAGTTGTATCGCTACCCGCAACGATATTACTTTGTCCCATCATGAAGACATGATACTTAGTCACGCCTTTCGTGCCATCCTCATACAGACCGAAAATCTTGTTCAAAAAGTCCTCTGGCATACTGCTGCCGCTCCTGGGAGGTTGTTTCTTTGCGGCGTTGGGGTGGGACTGGTCTCTTTCTGCCTCCCTTTGCGCGACCCTCTCTCGCACGAATCGGGTCAGGTACATCCTCGCAGATGCTCCACTACCGGGCAGATATTCCATGATTTTGAAGGTAATAGGGTGTAGTCCAACGTAAATGCCGACCAAGGACCCGTAAAGGACCACCTTGTTGATGGCTTTGATCAGACCCCCAACGTCCTCTCCGGCGTCCAGAAATCCAAACCTCTTGGAATATGTAATTTGGCCGATCACGTCAAATGCGTAACAACGCAGCCAGTATCCCAAGTCAATGTCCTGACCAGATGCCGCGATTTCAACCAGCCGCTCTGTGAAGATATCCCCACAGTCGTCCACGTATTTCTCATAGCTCACGAGTGAACTCAAGGAGTATATATTCTGAAATTTGCGTCTCGTTTCGGCGTGCCGCTTGATGTTTCTTTCTGGAAACAGCGACCATCTATCTGGTGATGGGTGCTTCCACCCATCGTACCAATCGCTTTTTCGCACATTGACACCGATTCCATAGACAGCTTTGTCGGGCTGTGAGATAGAGTACATGTTGGGGGCCACGCGGACAACACGGCTGTGGTAATGGTTATGTAGCTGGATGTTTTCGTGATGGAAGTTCCCCGAGTAGACGCGATAAAAATACCACAGGCGGGTATAACGAGCAAGCCATGGTCCCGGCACCGAGCGATTGGGCGATTTCCACACGCTGTATAGGTGTTGCACCAGTCGAATCGCCAAAAGGGCAAGGAAGAACCAAGAGATGATCACGGCCAGCATTATAACCTAGCTGAGACTATGTTCCACAGATATTACCGCGATATCAGTTATATAACTTCGCTCCTATCGCACTGCTCAAACTGGAACTGACCTGATATGCTATTGTTTTCAGAATGATGGCAATGCTGTTCTCGCTTGACCAGCATCGGACGAAATCCCTCAATTGGATGCCGACCAGGTGTTTTAATTAACTCTGTTTCTGTCTGCTAACCATCTTCTAAAATCCTGGTTTCCCCTCTACTGCGCGGTTGGAAATATCTACCCGGAACGGACTTGGAATTGTGATCCTTCACTTCCCGGTAATATCCAGCGGTTGAGAGTCGTTTTCCTGGCGATTCCACAGCTGGAGAATATGTATACCCGGGAACTTTCCACGGATCCCCTCGTCGATCGTCCGGACAGATGAGTGCGCCCCCCTCCAGCAGTCCCGCGGCCTTTCGGGCGAGAGGGCGGAATTGTTCCATTCGTGGAATCACCTATGCCACCGGTATACTGACAGGAAGCATAATGTCGCATATCCGGCGATCCCCGCAGAACTCCGCAGATTCCATCTCCGCTCCAGTACTAACAGAACCCTTCCGGTGATATGGTTGAAGCATTGCAATCCGAGCTCCCCGATGCGATTATAGGGCGCTTCGTACAAAGGCCTCTTAAAGGCATTCTAGCCAGTCTCGTCTCGTCATCATATGTTACCGTAGGACGACTGCATCCTCTTACAGTACCAAGATGGTAGTGAAGCTGGTCCTTGACAGTTTTCTCTTGGCCCATTTGGAGGTTGTGGTGGGAGTACTTGGGCTGGCTCTACTCGGGAAGTTGGCGTTTAACAGATATGGTTATGGCATTGCCCATATTCCTGGGCCCTTCTTGGCCTCGATTACCGACTTTTGGAGGCTATTCGTGGTATGGGGGCGGCGACCAGAGATAGAGCATATCAGGCTACACAAGCAGTACGGCAAATTCGTGCGACTCGGCCCCAACACTGTCTCAGTATCCGACCCAAGCTCTATCCGAGAAATCTATGGGTTGGCGACCGGGTTTAAGAAATCCGACTTCTACATAGTTCAACAGACGCTGGCAAAAGGTCGGCCTCTATCCACCCTCTTCACGTCTACTGACGAAAAGTTCCACGCAAAGCTTAGGAGAGCAGTACACGGCGCATATGCGATGAGCACCCTCGTGCAGTTTGAACCTTACGTGGACTCGACGATCCGGGCGCTCATTCGGCAAATTGAGATAAGATTCGCGGACAAGCAGGAAATTTGTAACTTTGGACAATGGCTTCAATATTACGCTTTTGATGTTATTGGGGAGCTTACTTATTCAAAACGACTGGGATTTATCGATAATGGTATTGATGTCGATGGAATCATATCGAGTATCGAATGGATGCTTGACTACGCCAGTGTCGTAAGTGCTAGTTGTGCTAATTAGTCTTCTTGAGTTTTATATACTAACCCATATATAGGTTGGGCAAATCCCTCTGATTGACAAGCTCTTGTTCAAGAATCCAATTCGACTGTTTCTCTCTAAACTCGGATTGATTGGATCAACTACTCCCATGGTGACCTTTGCGTGGCAGCGATTCTCGGAGAGGGTGGACCTTGCTACAGGTATAGAGAAATTGTCGACAGAATCAGAGGTTTCGTCCACCAGGCGTGATTTTCTTTCTAGGTTTCTTGAAGCACACAAGAAGGACCCTGCCTTCATCTCAAATGACCGAGTTCTGGCACTCTCCGTGGCAAATATCTTTGCCGGTTCTGACACGACAGCCATTTCTTTGCGGTCTGTGTTTTATTTCCTCCTAAAGCACCCAGAAGAGCTCCAGCGTCTTCGGGAGGAGCTAGACCAACAGAAACAGACTGGAAACTTCAAAAGGACCGACGGGCTAGTTGACTGGGAGGAAGTGAGAGAGCTACCAGTACTGAACGCAGTCATCAAAGAGGCGCTACGAATGCACCCTGCTGCCGGACTCACCCTGGAACGGATTGCGCCGCCGCAAGGGATCCAAGTTTGCGGTAAATTCATCCCCGGAGGCACTACAATCGGCTGCAGCGCATGGACGATTCATCAGGATACCACTATATTTGGGCCGGATCCAGATCGCTTCCGGCCCCTACGATGGTTAGAGGCTTCTCAGGAACAACGACGTCTTATGGAAAAGTATCTTTTTACATTTGGCGCGGGCTCACGAACATGTATTGGGAAAAACATCAGTTTGCTGGAGATGTATAAGCTAATCCCCGCTCTGCTGATGCGCTTTCAGGTAAGTCAAAATCACATGCACAGTCAGCGAGTGAAGGCTAATATGTCGACGCAGCTGGAACTTCCAAGCAGTGACTCAGAGTGGAAGTTGCACAATGCATGGTTCGTCAAACAAACGGAGTTCTATGTCAGATTCCGAAGATGTGGGCCATCATGATGCTAGATATGCGCGTGATATGCATGCGCAGTTGTCTGCCCAACTCGACTACTCGGAAATATTATTGTATCGTATTTGGCATCATTCTCCGCCAATGCTGTAAAGAATTTGTATGTCATGGACGGTAGATAGTATTTCTTTTTCCAGTGTTCACCATGGTGGTTATGCCTGAAGCATCAACGTGGGCGCTTTCCATTACGAATGTCAAACTATCATCTGCTCCTTGGTCATATCCCATTCCAGGCGTAGTTGACACATTTCTGATCGTATTCCCAATTCTATTCAGGCCTTGGTTGGCTTCTCTAACCTTCATATTAGGATTCTTAAACGATTCGAAGGATCTTGGAGTTGTTGGGATCTGACAGTAAATTATTCTCGAAAGGGAATAATGCATCTTTGGTATTTCTCAATTGAGCATTAAGACCTTCACTTCTATATTTAGTTTTATCGAGTTCTACGTTGTCCAGTCCTCCAATGTGGATGAAGAGTCTTGCAAGCATGGCCTCTGTATTTCTCCTACACGCGAATGTCCCCGAGTGACAGTGAATCGACAAAAGACAGAGTCCATTCTGAAGCATAAACAGTCACAACAAAACAACCAACGATCGTCCGTTCAGATTACAACGCCTGATGTTTTCGGCGATGACAACCCAGCCACCATGGCCTATATCTTCTTTGCGGCGACGCGAGCATTAATCAGACCTATCTGTTTCGTAAGACGCCAGGGGTAATCGTATGTTGCCATGAAAACCTCAAGCAACTGAATTTCCCTGGGTTTTGTATAATCCTCTGAATCAAGCACCATCTCCATTTCTTTTTTGGTCTTAACCTCTCGGCTGTTGGCTCGACCGTTCCTGGCGCCGAAGGTTTCAAGCAGTAGCTGGTGACGCCACGGGGAAATATTGTTGTATTCTTCCTCTGGTCCGTGGATAGCTCGCTCTATGGCAAAACCATTGTTGTTTATAATAAATCTATTGCCATGTTAGTGTAGCTATCCTTGAGTTGCGCATAATACCTACAGCAATGGTGATAGCTGGTGGCGGAGCATAGTTGCTATCTCCTGGACAGTTAGCTGCAAGCTTCCATCACCCACAATCAGAATTGTGCGTCCATTCGGCATGCCACCTTGGGCCTGTATCTCAGATTGCGCCAAGGCCGCACCCAAACACGAACCAACAGAATAGCCTATACTACCAAAGTAGACTTGGGTAATGTACTTGATATCGTTTCGCAAGACCGCGTCGGGAAAGCCGAATTGAGCAGTGCCGGATTCAACGATCACAATATCTCCTGGTCTGGTGAATTGTCCAAATCGCTTCCAGATCCACGATTGCGTGATCTCAGGAAAAGCAGCGTCCGCCGATGGTTCCTCGCATGGAAAGGCTGGCCGTTCAACGGAGGGGATATCCACTTTCTTGAAAGCAGACAGCAGCTGCGTCAACACTTATGAAGATGTCAATGTTGGTATTTGAAAATCTTTGTGAATATAAAGAAAAGGACATGACTCGACTTACGGGGTCGGAGATAAACTTGGTCGAACTTCTGGCCCATAACCTGTAGGCAAGTTAGTGACAAGAACTCCAAAGGTACTGCATCTTAGAGAAGGCACAGACCGTGCAACTATCTGGTTCAAGCATAATAGCTTGGTGATCAAAGATCTGTCTTGTGTGACCTCCGGTATTGCTGTCGGAGAGGAAAGGACCAAGGTTGATGATGCAGTCGCTTTGTTCTACGTACTGCTTGATACCAGGCAAAGAGACCTCTCCGGCGTAAATACCACACCAGACTGGCAGAGTCTCATCAATGATACCTTTGCCCATTGGAGCGGTAAAGACAGGGAGATTGAGAAGATTTACCAACTCTTTCGCCTGTTTGCTCGCGGCGTGCCGTGAGGTCAAGCCGTCAACGAGGACAAGTGGTTTCTCGGCACAGGTGACCGCATTCACGATTTCTTGAACAGCTCGGGCTTCGTTTGCCAAATTTACGGGATATGATAGATCGATACTCTGCTCTAGATGGCGAGCAGGCACATGAATGTGTACAAAGTCCATCGGCACAAATATGTACACAGGCATGGATTTCAGCCAGCATTCCCGAATCACTCGCTTCGGAAGTGTTAGTGGTATCTCATAAAATAGTAATGAAGGTTCTGCTTACATCTATTTCAGCTGCTGCAGTATCCTGGTTATCAATCCATGCGTGCGCACACCTGACGTGGCTGGAGATATTGTCAAATACCTATACCAATATCAGAAAACACTCCAATAGAAGGTGAATTGTGTCAGATACTCTATGGTCAGGATTTGATCCCAGACAGTGATGGATCATTGCTCGTTTTTGTTGGAGTTCAGTGCCAGTGGTTCCCACCACGTGAATCACTTTTACTTGTTCCGTGTAGGCACCTGCTATGCCATTAAGGGCACTCATCTCGCCTACACCCATGGTCGTTGTGACTTTTATAGTAAGCATCGTTGAATCTTCTGATGGAACTGATAGTTGACAAGCTTACTGGCGCCTGGGCAGCCTTTGGTACGAGCGTACCCATCAGCAGCGTATGCTGCATTCAGTTCGTTCGTGTTGCCAACTATCGAAACTGTGAGTAGATGCAACACAACGCTCCTGAAATACTAACTCCATTTCAGCTCTGGGACGGATTTGATGTAGTCCAAAAGTTCCAGATTCATGTCGCCGGGAACCCCCATAATACTTTGCGTACCTTGCTGGCGAATTCTGGAATGAAGATCAGCAAGCGCGTGGTATAAAGCAACACATTACAATTACCGAGTCCACAAGTATAACCCAAGAGGGATGGTTTGGACCGTGGCATCTGACGATGCTTCATGTGTGATCGAACCCATCCTGCTATTTCAATCAACGGAGCGAAGCACAGAGGCAGAGTTCACTTGAGAGGAAAGAATCACAAAATAATTTGGCAGTTTGATTGCAGCGAATGCAAGACTTCTGTATCCTAGTCGACAACAAGGCCGGCTTTAATATTACAATCAATAATCAGTTAGGTGACTGTAGCAAACAACAATCCGGGAAGCGACGGCAAACGACAACAAGCTGGGGCTAGGCTAGTGGCGGAATTTCCGTGTTTCCTGGAGTAGCCGTATCAAGTCCGTTTGCCGCATAGTCATGACACGATGCCACTGATCGGAATGGAGATCGTATTGTTAGAACTTTTAGCATATAAATGCTTGTAACCCCATTATAATCAGTTTATAACATCGACAAGATATCCAAAATAACAAGGAAAAGCAGCAGGTCAATATTCATCCTTTCGCAGCCATGACGTCCCAAATTGTCAATACCCACAAGTATCCCTTTCATTTCGATAATCCTGTCAAGGTCAATGACGAGAAGGTCCATCCAAATGAGCTAAGGGATGTCACTCTCCGTCTCCCCAATGTTCGCGGAGAGATCCCATCCATCCAGGCCTCTCGCATGCGAACTATGATCCTGGAATCCCACCGTGACCCCTCCAAGATTGCCGCTCACGTTTGTACATATGACGGGCTTACATCGCGGCTCGTGGAAGAGGCCGGGTTTCCATTTGTTTTCCTGGCTGGATATGCTGTTGCTAGTTCATATGGGTGCGTTCAATCGGTTCCTGACCAGCCGGCGTTCGTGTATGCTAACGAGATTTTTGATTCCAGTCTCCCGGATACTGGATACATTGCGCTGCAAGAAGTCTGCGATAAGATCCAGGAAGCCGTTCGCCAAGTTTCTGTCCCTGTCATGGCAGATGGTGACACCGGATACGGGTCGCCCATGAACGTTAGGAGGACTGTGGAATGTTTTGCTCGTGCCGGTGCCGCCGGTATTATGATCGAGGACCAAACTTGGCCTAAGCGTAAGTTCTAGTTTGGAGCAAGAGCTTCTTTCGTAACTCTATACTCATTTGCTGACAACCCTTTTCTTAAAGGATGTGGCCACACGAAAGGCAAGTCGGTCGTTTCAAGGGGCGAAGCCTTTGCCCGTATGCAAGCTGCCGTTGATGCGCGAAATGAAGGGTTGGATATTGTCATCCAAGCTCGTACGGATTCTTACAACACGCATGGTTGGGAGGAAGCTATCTACCGCGCCAACGAGTTTCTCAAGATTGGTGTGGATTTGGTGTTTATCGAGGCTCTTCCCGATCGTGAATCGATGACGCGTGCTGTGAAAGAAGTCAATGGGCCTATCTGCGCGAACATTATCGAAGGCGGATTGACGGAGAATATGTCTGCCCAGGAGCTTGCTGAAATTGGCATGTGCACCGTTGCGTACCCGTGGACACTGGTTGCAGCTCACTTGAAGAGTACCAGGGAGGCCATTGAGAGCTTGAAGGAGAGGTTCACCATCGGCAAGCCCGAGCAAATTCTGAGCTATGAGGAAGTCTGCTACGGAGTGGGATTCAACAAGTACTGGGCGTTGGAGGAGAAGTATAAGTTTGACGCCAATGGCCTGACGAACCAGGGTACTTCGTAAAATGGCGCGACTGCGAAGTTGAATTACCATTAGGAAGGAAGTGGATTTCTTCCAAATCTCTCGACTGGAGGGACTGGAAATCAAACTATTGCATTGTTTATAGGAAATCATCCCTAGAAGCTTATCAATTGATCTCTCTACTTGTTGCCTCATTTGTCGCCATGATCAACCTATACTCAGAAACCTCAATACTGCTATAATGATAGATCCCTGCAGCTCCTCGAAACACTAATATTGAACTCGTGGACTCCATAAATTCTCTCCATGAATATCTTCACTTCTATCTCACACAAAAGCCCATCGAATCACAAGCCCCTTGAGATGTTGATGCCAGCTTAGACATCTAACGGATCCAGAATCTACCTAGCTTCTTTGCCTCCCCGAGCCTTGGGATTTAGAGCGTTTCCAATGATAACCTCTAATACAAGGGGAAGTTCTAAAGAAACTCTAACGACTCTGGTAGTCCCCATGCCCCTATGGTGAATTCAGGAACGAACGGGGCCAAGGATGGATCAAACGCCTGCGTAAACCAATCATCTGCACCAAAATCGGAACCAACGCCAAGATCACTTCAGGTCTGCTTGCCCAGGGCCAACAACCCTAGTCATGTCGGCCCCAGCGTTTGTTGCCGTGGTGGACGAGCTCCTTCAGGCTCCGGAGTCGCCGGTTTGGAGATACCGAAACCGCTTTGCGAGAGCATGTTTTTCTTGAAGCGTCGGACCAAACGATCTATCAACTTGCCGTACCGCGTGGAAAGATGGACATCATCATGCTGGTTTTCCCTCAATGTCTGATTGCATTTATCAAGGACCTCAAGAGAGCGTAACATGTTGTTTCTCGGTCCTAGACTCAACGATTTCAGGAGGAACATCGATGCCGCGACGAGTCTCACAAAGACTCGGACAGGGCAGTATCTCAAGCATCCGCTCTCTCCAAGTTGGATGACGATGGACAGAATTTCACAGCTAGCTTCTCTTACCGCGTTGTTGAAGCTATGATGAATTTCATTGGTATCCATTAGCACATGGTAGCCTTGGCCCCGTGAGACTCTTTCGACAAATGCCTGTATACCAAGCGAATTGAGGTACATGATTGCATAATAATACTCGATTAACAAAAGTTGCTTTGAGGAGTCCGGGACATCTGTCGTAGTTAGTGCGTCCATCCTAACGGTACCTATGCCGCGTGGATCGATACTTACTAGGTAGTTCAAGGGAAATAAAATCTTTGTACCACGATTGTAATAGAGGGATGAAGTGTTCCAATAGTGCTAGATATCTTCCGCTCCTGATGATTTGCCGAGTTATATGCGTACTGTGGAAACATGTATCGGTGATAGCTTTAAGCAATTTCGTGATGCTAATGTACCGGCAAAGAATTACCTCTCGGTAATATTCAGGCCCTTCTGCTGGCACAGACGCATCCATCTGTATAGTTTCAGATAATTGACAAGCTTGAGGGAAGATACTTGTGCAGCCCAGTCGGAGAGTTAGTTGATGGACATAGAGGAATAGTAGTCTCTGGCACCGTAGCCGACTCATCTGAGGGACTGCTAGTGGCTCAATTTCAGCCCCCGTGTCCTCAAAGACACCCAGCTCATGAGCCAATGTAATTGCCAGTCCGATCAATGACCAGCTCATTCTATCCGATCTCTTCGCCGGCTCAAAGACTTCCTCTCGCCACCTCGCTGAATTAGAATCCACCGACCCATGAGGGTGGCCATACGAATCATCGATGCTGGGGGCCAGGCTGTGGTCCCATCCGTCCGTTTCAGGTGGGAACCGTACGGCCCGGGGATGCCATTCTGTAATGAGAAGCAATGCATGAATACTCCCCAACGTACGCGTTCTGGCTGTACAATACTTCTCTGCGCCAAGTGTGATTCGATGAACTAGATGTTCGCAGTATTTCCAGAGCCTCATATGCACGAATTCTGCTCGAGATGTACCATGATAGCCTGGAAGAATATGATAGCGTGAAGAGATCATTAATATAGTGCAGCAAAGGAGAGGCTCTTCAATAATTAAATGTTTGTGGCTTCGGTGGTCGGCAAAGACCGAAGCAAGAACCGGTGATAAGGACAGTAGATTTTGGAAAAACCTTGAGATGTAAGTACCCGTAGAGTTTCCACTTTATGTTCTCTTGAGGGCTACTCACAGATTGATGTATGTGACCGCTTCTTGGGCAGTGAACCAACCTTGCCGTACAAATCTCTGTTGGCTCCACAGCTCGGTGTCCTCTTTCGTGATATGGGAGAGCGTAACGAAGGGAAGCGAGCTCTTAGAATCGCTAGTCAAGGCAGAAGCTGGACTTACACCAAGGCTGCCAACCGGTTCGTCTTCAGAGTCACTGGAATCGTGTTGAGAGGCAACTTTGAAAAGCATATTCCTAGCGTCGTTAGAGGAAGACATGACAGTTCGTACAATCTCATCGTGCAGGTTTGCGTCTGCTTTTTGACGACCGGTCGTTTCTCTAGGAGGCAAGTCCTGGCGGTTTTGTTTTGTATTGCTTTGGATGCCCGATCGCCCATAGACGGATGATAAGGTGGGCGGCTGATGTAGCAATTGAAGATTGGGACGAGCCGTGTCAAAGCTGCTGCGCTCTGTGGCGGTGCTGTGGACCCCGATCTGGCCCAAATCATGGCTGACACGTGGAGAATTACCAGCTCTGCGAGTTTGATGGCTCTAGGTACAAGGTCAGCTATCGTTCGACTAAGCGTATACGTATTTTTCGATCTCACAGAGGACGAGTTGACCCGCCGTTCGTTCTTACGAGAAGACCTCTGTTCGGGGAAACGACATTCCCTCTGTTCCCTCGCGCATTTCAAGCAGATCTTCTGCTTGGGGCTAAGCTCACACTTTGCCTTCGCCCTTCTACATTGAAAGCATGCCTTGTATGCCCGCCTGTAGTCTTGGGGCGGGGGAGCTTGTCCAATGTCCGTGGCATTCCGAACCGAATTTTCGTCCATATCGGGGAGAGTTTCTGTGGCCGGATACGGGCTCATAGGGGGTGGGAATTGCCGGAGTTAAGTACAGCTTTGACCTCCCTCAACCCCGCTTGAACTAGGCTCTTAGCGCGGTATATGCTCCGCTGTGGGGAAATTTAGGGTAGTTCCGGATATACAAAGCCACAGATTAAGGTTTAGCATGGCAGTTTCTACACTTCCCGGGGGCCATGGCATACGCGGTATGTAATCCGGGGTTTTGTGGAAATGTGGGGGTATCTGGGGTTCTGGAGACTTGGCTTGATACAGCACAGCTGGAGGAGCAGATGTCCGTCGATCAAATAAAGGCACAGAGTAACGCCCCGGCAACAACCATCCACATCTTTCTTCAATCATATCACTTTTTAACATGGCAAACCTAAACCGTGACACTGTTTATCAAGCTCCTCCCAACAGCGAGAAGCCGCAGTGCCTACATCTCGAAGAGAACAAGACGAAGGACGGGGACCTCGAGGGAACCCCGGGGGACGACGCCAGATACCATAGAGAAATTGATCCAGCTGAGGCCAAGCTGGTGCGAAAGCTCGATTGGGTTATCCTGCCCACTCTCTGGTTGATGTATGGCCCTCGTTTAGGAGATATTTAAGAAGTATATAATCTTCTAACTGTATGCAGGTACTGGTTCAACTACTTGGATCGAAATGCGATTACAGTTGCGCGCCTTGACGGCCTAGAAGATGAGCTCAACTTGTCGTCAACACAGTATCAGACCTGTGTATCCATCCTCTTCGTGGGATACATCCTAGGACAGGTTCCTAGCAGTAAGTACACAAATCGAGCCATCAGAAGAGCCTGGGCTAACGCGAATTAGACATGCTTATGACTCGTCTCCGGCCCTCCGTGTTTATGGCATTGTGCATGGCTCTATGGGCAGTTGTGAGCGCCCTCACTGCTGTAGCCCAAGATTTCAAAGGGCTTCTTCTCACACGCTTTTTCCTCGGCGTCGTCGAGGCCCCTTTCTATCCCGGCGCACTCTATATGCTTTCTATGTTCTATGATCGGAGAGAGATCGCTACTCGAATATCCATACTTTTCACTGGAAATATTTGCGGTACCGCGTTTGCAGGCCTTATTGCGATAGGGGTCTTTAGAATGAGCGGCTCCGGTGGCATCTCCGGATGGAGATGGTTGTTTATAATCCAGGGTGCTATTACATTCGTCCTCGCTGTACTCTCTGCCTTCATCTTACCAGATGAACCCCTCAACACTCGATGGTTGTCGGAGGACGAACGGCAACTGGCACACTCCCGGATTGCGAGTGATACAGTTGATCTCCAGACAAACACGAGTACGTGGACTGGGCTCGTCGAGTCACTACGTGACCCTCACCTCTGGGTTCTAATGTTCCTTCAACACTTCCACATGGCGGCAAGCAATTATAAAAATTTCTTCCCTACAATCGTGGAGACGCTAGGATTCTCCCGAGACGTGACACTTGCCCTAACCTGTCCTCCGTACCTTGTTGCAGGTGCTATATCCATTGCGTGGGCAGCAAGCTCTGGTGAGTCTTGGACAAGGCGATGTGCGATGTTGAGAGCCGCTCTGAAAGCTTAACCTTCCGTCCAAACTGACATCAATAGGACATTTTAACGAAAGAGTCTGGCACATCACTATTTCAAAGGTCGTCGCTGTGGTAGGATTCGTGCTTGCTTGTTCAACTATGAATGTGGGAGCCCGGTATTTCGCGATGTGCACGTTCGCAACTGGCGTTTATGGCGTGAACAGCATCATTCTTGGCTGGGTGTCCACAACCTGTGGGCAAACCAGGGAGAAGAAGGCAACCTCCCTCGCCATTGTGAATACATTTGCATCCACCGGCGCTATCTATACCTCGGTAGGTTTACTGACCCGTTTGGCTAGGCTCTAAAACTCCGCTAACCTGGCATTTCACTCAATCTCTAGTATCTCTGGCCGACTTGGAATGCGCCGCGGTATACAATCCCCATGCTTACAAGTGCTGGCTTTTCGATAGCTTCAGTCATTTTGGCTTGGGTATTACGATATATGCTTACCAGAGCGAACAAGAAGATCCTCGAATCCAATACGACCCAAATGAGGCTCTATGCCTATTAATGGTGTTTTCGTGCATCAGTCCATACGTCAATCATTTCTATCACCATGCACAAATGCTCTATAAAGCATTTGAATTTGTGAGACAAGGCAAGCTACTTGATTCATTGGTATTTCACTACTTATAATGATCTCTACGAGCAACGAATTACCAAGGATAAACTGTGTTGGAAAGGCAAATGAGGCACTACCTTTAATCAGAATTTCACTTGAGATATGCTGCATGAGAACCAAGATATTTTCTGTCTCCATAGAGACTAGATTGAAGCTGAAGTCTGCTAGCGGCGTTCATCTGTCCCTTAGGCACTAACCGAGTGCTGGTAGGGATTTATGCAGTGGACAGATGCTATATAATTATAAGCATAATGTGTCTGGCCAGCAGACAATGGAGCCATGTGCTATGGTTGCAACGTCCGCTTCGGGTGTGTTCACCCCGAGAGGCAAGGGCGATGGTGTCCCGGTCGGGATCCTAGATAGGGTGGGTAGAAACCATCCCTATATATAAGAGGTTGTAGTGTTAGTTTACCTCAGTTCGTATCATTCGTTCTCGTTCAACATAAGATATTTTAATAAAATATATAGGGGTTATAGACGGGCACACGAAAATCTAAATTGCCTACCGCCCACTATATATAGAAAGGCGATAGGCACTTCCTAGGTGCCTATAAATGGGCAATATCGTAGTCTGACGACTGTATTAGGATAGGGCTACCGTGGTGCATTTTATTAAGGTGAGCTGCTGACTTAGCTGCTCTCGGGCAACTTTCCAGCTTAGGTAACGCTCAGCGAGCAAGCCCTTGAACACGTCACGCTCAGTGAGTGGGATTCGGCTCCTCGGTGAGCAAATATCAGAGTGCTCAGGTGATGCTGAGTGAGTTTGATAATCACCTAATACTCAGAGGCGACGGGTGCTCAGTTTCGCTCAGTGAGCGAAGAGCGGCAAGGGGTGAGCACTAAAGCGGAAAGGGAAAGCCATCTCGTTCGGCCTACAATCCGGTGTTTATGTGACAAGCATGGGGTATACTCGAGCCCTTGCCCTAACCCTTTCTGCCTGAGGCATCAATCAGGTTTAAGGCAATAAGGCTGCAAGGCCGCAAAGCCCCGCCACCCCGCCGGATCGGTGACAGCGGGCGTTCGCGGAAATTGGTCTGACTCACTGGGAAAAAATTATCAAATTCGTTAAAAAGGAATAACTCGTTGTAGTGTACGGCGTAGTTAAACTGCAAATACCTAGAAGTAAATTGTTCCTGGCCGAATTCGCCCAGAAAATTCGCACCGGCAAACCTGATCTTGGCCCCGCTATCGGCTCCAGACATATTCTCTTTCCACTTCGAACCTACCCCACCATCCAAAGCAATTGATCGTGCACAGGTCTGGATACGTGACTTGGTCAAGCGTGCAATCATGGTTTCAATCGTTCTAGGAAGTCAATGGGGAGATGAAGGTAACGGCAACGAAACCCCAACATAGAGACATTGGACATGCTAACGAACGAACAGGAAAGGGGAAGATCACAGACATGCTGTCGCAGGATGCGACACTTTGCTGTCGTGCGGCCGGCGGACACAGTACGTTGAACTTGCTTTGCATTCCCTCTACCCCGAATTGTTGAAGTTTTCAAACGGGCCCCTCCAAAAGCCCAGACAGTGACTGACCAACCGGCCTTTTTCAATTGGACACAGATGCCGGCCACACTATTGTCCACGAGGACGTCACCTACGACTTCCACATCCTTCCCTCCGGTCTCGTCTCGCCAAAATGTATCAACCTGATCGGCGCCGGTACCGTCTTCCACGTCCCCAGCTTCTTCAAGGAACTGGCCGCTATCGAGGCCAAGGGCCTGAAGGGCGCCGCCCAACGCATCTTCGTCTCTGACCGCGCACACGTCTGCTTCGACCTGCACTCCGTCGTCGACGGTCTCGAGGAGAAGGGTCTCGGTGGCCGCAAGGTTGGCACAACCGGCAAGGGCATCGGTCCGTGCTACAGCGACAAGGCCGCACGCCGCGGTGTCCGCGTCGGCGAGATCCTGGACGAGGAAACCTTCGAGCGCAAGCTTCGCACCTTGGACACCTCATACCGCACACGGTTCGGAGATCTGGCATACGATGTTGAGGAGGAGATTGCGCGGTTCAAGGTACGGATGACACCCGGCCATTTCTTCATTCCTTCAAGCGATGTGAAAGCCCATGGCACGCGACAGCAGAGGACAAATCCTGGATTCTTGTTCACCACATCACGACAACATCGCTGACAATCTCTCAGGAGTACCGCAACCTCCTGAAGCCCCACATCGTCGACCAGCTCGAGTTCCTGCAGGAACACAAGAACTCGCCCAACACACTCGTCGAAGGCGCCAACGCCCTCATGCTCGACCTCGACCACGGCACATACCCATTCGTGACCTCGTCATCAACCGGTCTGGGTGGAGCCGTGCAAGCGCTTGCCCTGAACCCTGCCAGCATCAAGTCCGTGATCGGTGTGGTGAAGGCTTACACGACGCGCGTTGGCTCCGGACCTTTCCCCAGCGAGCAGATCAACGAAGATGGCGAGAAGCTGCAGCAGGTTGGACGCGAGTTCGGCGTGACTACTGGTCGTCGTCGTCGCTGTGGCTGGTTGGATCTTGTGTTGTGCCGCTACTCTCACGCTATCAACCACTACACCGCGCTGAACTTGACTAAGCTTGATATCCTCGATGACTTTGATGAGATCAAGGTTGGTGTTGCTTATATCCTGCCTGATGGAAAGCGCACTACTGGAACTTTCCCTGCGGATCCTAATGTCGTCGACAAGATCCAGGTGGAGTACGTTACTCTGCCTGGATGGAAGTCGAACACTATGGGTGTCAAGCGTTACGAGGATCTGCCTCCTAATGCTCGTGCTTACATTGAGTTCATTGAGCGTGAGATTGGTGGTGTTCCTGTCAAGTGGATCGGTACTGGTCCTGCCAGAGACCACATGATCGCCCGTGATTAAGTGCATTGTTTCTTTTTGTTTGGTGTTTTTTTTGTACTCACTGTTTCTTGCATATTACGATATACTTAGGATGTGTGATATAAGGTTTCCTTTTTGTCCCATATTCAACGATTTAGATGTCTCGAAAATGGATCTGGTTAGAGGCGGTCAAGTCTTTTCCTGTTTATTATTATGTTTTGGTAGAAAGATGTTGTGTCAAGATTAAAATTGAGTCCTGGATAGAATAATAGTGTACATGAAGAAAATATGAAGGTCAGTTCTTCGTATCCAGAAAAGAATCCCGCAGAACAACCAAAATAGAGTATAAGACAAAGAGCAGAGAAGTCTAAATAAGAAACACAGAGCACCCAAGGGTGTATAGTACACGAAGACAGTCCGAAAAAAAGAGATTGGAGAACGCCGCCCAATGCTAGAATGGTTGCTTCATCTTTTCACTTTTGGCTGATCTGGTCTCACCGGACAGCAACATTGCAGTCCATGAAAATGCCAGACAAATTATAATTGCCAGCACGGCTGGCAAGAGTTGATCTCCCATTCAACTCAAACTTAAAACCGGAAGTCATCGCCGAAGGAATCCTCGTAAGAACGGCGAGGACGAGACGGCCGGTCACCACGGTCACCACGGTCACCGCCACGAGAGAATCCACCACGGTCACCACCGCGGGAGAATCCACCGCGGTCACCACGGGAGAAGCCACTACGCTCACCACGATCACCACCACGGGAGAAACCGCCACGGTCACCGCCACGAGAGAATCCGCCACGGTCACCGCCGCGAGAGAATCCACCACGACCACGGTCACCATCGCGGGAGAAACCGCCCTCGCGTCGCTGGCGGGTGCCGTCACCCACACTGACACCGTCAATTCGGCTGAGACCCATTTGCTGCATCAATCTGGGGTTGAGCTCTGGGGGTGATTGCATATTGTATCCTGCAATGAACATCTGGTTGAGTGCCTGGATGGCCTCTCTCTTGCTGTTGAAGTTTCCAGTGGCGGTACCAAGCTGGCCCATGTAGGACTTGACCTTGGTAGTATTGTCACACTGGGCCAGACCCTCGGTAATCTGGCTCACGATCTTGCCAACTGTCGAGTCGGTAGACAAGGTCTGTGTAAGGTCTGCAGCGGCGGATTCCAAAGCTGTATCCACCTTCAATGGGAGACGACCCAGGCGCTTCCTGTAGACATCTGACTCGGCCGGGTGCATGAACAGCCAGCCTTCACCTTCTTTGCCAGCACGGGCTGTGCGGCCGAGGCGGTGGATGTAGGTCTCACGGTCCCGAGGAACACCAATTTGGACGACATGGGTGACATCCGGGAAATCCATACCACGAGCAGTGACGTCCGACGAGAACAAGATGCCCTCGCGAGCCTTGCGGAAGTTATCCGCGCTGCGAGTTCGGAGCGCCTGCGTGAGACGCGAGTTAATCTCGAGCATTCTCATGTTGCGCATGGAAGACTGGCGGAACTCTGAGGAGCGGGCGATGGCGTTAAATGCATCAGCGGAAACCTTGGTCTCAGCAGTGGAGTTGAAGTAAGCGATGGCCTTGAAAGGTCGCAGCTCCTCGCCGTTATCCCGACGCGCTTGCCAGTTCTGAGCAAGCTCGAGAAGGGCGGGCAGGCTGTTTTCAAGACCGCGTGTGTAGACAACCTTCTGGGGAACCCGCTGGTGGGTGGGAACTTCATCTTCACGAACGGTGTTGACGTGCTTGAAATCGGGCTTCAGGGTCTGACGAACCATCTGCATAACTTCCCTAGGAACGGTGGCCGAGAACATGAGCGTCTGGCGGTCCACCTTTGTGGGGTCGGGAAGCAGTCTTTGGATCTCTGCAACATCAGGAGCAAAACCCTGGTCAAGAAGGCGGTCTGCCTCATCGAGAATCAGAGTGTTCAGCTTGGGGGCAGAGACACCAGTCCAAGGGTCCGAGAGGATGTCCTTGAGACGTCCCGGGGTACCGATGAGCAGGTGACATCCCTCCTGTTGGATCTTTGCAAGACCGGCACGCTTCTGTGTGCCACCGACAGCGGTCTGGACAAGAAGACCTGTGCCAAACGCAACTTTTTTGGCCTCAACTGCGATCTGTTCCGCGAGTTCGCGGGTAGGGGAGATGATAAGAGCACGGATTTCTGAGGGACCAGTTCTACCTGGCCGGCGGCCAACTCTGGACATATCGACACTGGGGTCATTCAAAATGTTCTGAAGAGTGGGTACAAGGAAAGCAAGCGTTTTTCCGGTTCCTGTTTTGGCCTGGGCGAGGCTGAAAAAAAGGTAACGAGTTAGCGGACCATTCAATGCCAAGGCAAATCCATCAACAAACTTACATATCATCGCCCTTGACAATCTCGTTGAGAGTAAGAGACTGCACCTCAGTCATAGTCTTGAGGTTCATCCGGTCAGGTTGAATGATGTTCTTGATAATCTTATTGTGAATGAGATTCTCCGCCGCTAGGTCGGAAAACTCTGTGATCATCGCAGGTTTGGAGGGCTCGGTTTCTTCAACAATTGCCTGCGCAGTAGCCGCAGACAGCCTCGGGAAAGAGGAATGAAGCGATCTGGCCGCAGCAACAGATGAATGGGTCGAAGGAGCTTCCCATTTCGGCAGGTGAGTAGCCAACCGTGCTGAGATCGAGCGAGGCGCAGTAGCGCGCAACGCATGTGAAGCGCCAAATCGGCGAACTGTTCCAAGCATCATGATATAATGCTAATGGAAAAAAATGGATGGGAAGATGATAAAACTGCAAATTGCACTTGGGGCGCCCCAAGGAGAAGCGCAAAAATAATTAGGGGTCACATGATCCTTATCGAGAGATAACATCCCGAGATAGGGAAAGTAAACAATTGTGGCAAACACGGCAAACACGGCAAACACGCTAAATCTGCGAGACAACTTGCGCTTTGGCCAGTTATATCAAACCAAGCAAACATGTCAAATTAGCCAAACACATGAAATTCAAGGTTGGCCCAAACCTTGGAGACCTTGGAGAAGGTCAACCAATCAAAACAAATGATCTTGGAAAACCCTGGAGACCCAGGGCCGATAATGGGCCGGTCAGCATTAAGGTAGAATTAGAAATACAAATTTGCTGACCAACGCTTTTCATTTGCTGACAACGGTCAATATACGGCGCACGTATATCATCTAGGCTGCTAACCCTGCATATACGCGCGGAGAGCAGATCACATCTGTCACATAAGACATCCCATTCTCCCAAAACAAAACCTCACCCTTGTCTGTACCACTGACGAAGTGCACCGGCTCTATAACCTATAACATGGCCCCTATCGATGTAGTCGTTATTGGAGGCTCATTTGCAGGCCTTCATATCGCTCACTCTGTCCTTCGTGATGTACCTGACGCGAAGGTTGTGCTGATCAACCCCTCAACCAGCTTCTACTGGAATATTGCCGCCCCACGTATCGTCACCAAGCCCAAGGCCTTCCGCCCCGAGCAGTACTTGCTCCCAATCAAAGATGCTTTTGCAGGCTACCGGCCCGACGCGTTCGAGTTCCTTCCTGGAGTTGCAACTGCTATCGATGCCGCTGCCAAGTCGGTTTCCGTGACCCCCAACGAGGGCGAGCCCAAAATACTATCATATGATTATCTCGTTATCGCGTCGGGTAGCACTACATCTGCCACTACCGGCTCGCTCACCGGCACATCCATTCCATTCAAGCAGTCGGGACACAATGACATGGAGCAGTTGATCGAATCGGCGCAGGAACACATTGCTGGGGCGAAGGAGATCGTGATTGGCGGTGCAGGTCCTATCGGTGTCGAGCTGGCTGGAGAGCTTGCTGAAGCAGTGGAACAAAGTGGCAACGCCGGCAAGGTCTCCATCACGATTGTCTCAGCGACAGATCAGGTACTCCCGATGCTCAAGCCATCTGCCAGCTCTGCTGCACGTAAGCTGCTAGAGCAGAAGAAGGTCAAGGTCGTGACCTCGAAGCGAGTCATTGGTGTCGAGACTCCGGCCGATGATAGTTCGACTTGGACAGTCTCACTGGAAGGCGGAGACAAACTTTCGGCTGACCTCTATATCCCCACTACCGGTGTGACCCCCAACAACAGTTTCATCCCAGCTCAATTCCTGGACAAGGACGGCTGGGTGACAGTGAACAAAGAGATGCGGGTTCAGTCAACTGACGGGTCAACTCTGCCTATCTTTGCTGCTGGCGATATCACCAACAACTCAATGCGCCTCAGTTTTAAAGCCACGGAGCAAGCGCATGTGGCGGCGGCCAACCTCAAAGCCGCAATTGTAGGCGGCACTGCCATCAAGACCTACGACCAGGGCGAGAACATTATTATGATCGTGCCTGTTGGCGAATCTGGTGGAACGGGTCAGCTGTTTGGATTTGTGCCTTTTAGCTTCATGGTGAAGATGCTCAAGGGCAAGCATTTCTTTATTGATAAGGCCGCTGGCGCACTCGCTGGCAAGGCTTAGGTGATATCCCCAGATGTGTTTGAGTGTATTCAGTTTCGCGCATTTTCAGGGTTTAGAATGCTCGTCCATATTCCGGCAGTGGCTGCATACTCATGTACTTAATGCATAATTTTCCTATCCAGGAGTGTGAATGTCTTTCGAATGTCTTTACAGCAGAACAAGATGGTATATACTTGGCAACAGATACAACCTTGGAACGTACCACATCCACCACCTCCCATACCCGCTTTATCCGAAAACGGCCAGCTCCCCCGTTGCTTAACAATCACCGTTTTAATCGGGTTGTATATTAATCAACAATTATTTGAGGTCATTTTGCTGTGCCGAGGGTCACGGTTTTCCTACCCAAAACGGCTGTCTCCGTCGGCCTGAGGTTGCTTCAATTCGTCCGTTCCCCACTGTTTTTTTCTCAAAAACTGGTTCCGTTGCCACAGTTATGTGTTCATAGTACACCTATTGAATGTACGCTAGGAGCATGGGCATATAAAATTGTGCATATCAAAGCAGAAACCGCAGAAAGTGGAGTCTATCGACTGGAGCATCAACCATCTCGAGAAGCTTCTCCGGGATCCGCCTGGTTTATAATTAAAAAGATAGACAAACAGAGAATTGTATTTCCATCCTCGGTACAGCCCCGCTTTGATGAACGGCAATCGTCATATATAAAGAGCTCCCGCCATACTTCGGCAAATTCCTACTTCCCATCTTTATCTTTCCTACTACACATCTACATAATGTCTGCCAACAAGGTTCTTACATTCAAGAAGATCCCCCAGGGATACCCCGTCGCTGGGCAGGACCTGGTCGTCGAGACCGCCGCTTATGATGCCAACGTTGCCGCTCCCGACAATGGCGTCGTCCTGCAGTCCCTCTACACCAGCTTCGACCCCTACATGCGTGGCCGCATGCGCCCGCCTGAGATCAAGTCATACGCCCCCGCCTTCGCCCTCGACAAGCCCATTGACAGCCGCACCATTGGCAAGATCGTGCGCTCCAACAACGCCAATTACAAGGAAGGTGACCTGGTCATTGGCCACGTCCCAATCCAGCAGTACATCGCCCTTGGCGAGCAGGAGCTGGTCCGCATCCAAAAGTTGGACAACCCCCTTGGCCTCGAGGATATCCGTGTCTTCCTCGGTCCCCTCGGCATGCCCGGTCTGACCGCATACTCGTCCCTGTATGAGATCGGCAAGCCCAAGAAGGGCGAGACCATCTTCGTCTCCGCTGCCAGTGGAGCCGTCGGTCAGCTGGTCGGCCAACTCGCCAAGCACGAGGGTCTGCGCGTCATTGGATCCGTCGGCACAGATGAGAAGCTCGAGTACATCACCAAGACGCTCGGCTTCGATGGCGGCTTCAACTACAAGAACGAGAAGCCCGCTGATGCCCTTGCCCGTCTCGCTCCCGAGGGTATCGACATCTACTACGAGAACGTCGGTGGAGAGCACCTCGAGGCTGCCCTCGATGCTATGAACAACTTCGGCCGTATCGTCGTTTGCGGTCTGATCTCCCAGTACAACTCCGCCCCCTACCCCATTAAGAACATCCACAATGTCCTCGTCAAGCGCATCACCATGCGCGGCTTCATCGTCGGTGATAAGGGCATGGGTGATGTTTACACCAAGGAGCACCAGGAGAATGTGCAGAAGTGGATCAAGGATGGCTCGTTCAAGGTGCTCATCCACGAGACTGAGGGCATCGACAACGCTGCCGAGGGCCTGATTGGCATCTTCCACGGCAAGAACTTGGGCAAGGCTGTCCTGAAGTTCTAAGTTCTTATGAGACTGATGAAATAACGAGATGCCTGGCGCATTGATTTTTTTGTTGACACATTGGGAGGTATCTATGTAATACCTCGGTTAGGACTCTTCAGTATGTACATGTACTAGTAGGGATAAAATGGATACCTCTCAAAATAGCCAAATCACACAAATGTTGCACATAATAAAATATGAATGGTCAATAAAATCAACATTAATCTGTAACCAACAAAGTCCATATACTACAAACGTAGGAAGAAGATAACCGCAGGGCTAAATGTTTCTCACCAGAGTGTCGGCCAATTTCGGCTGGGCGGACAGCCATCGACCAATCAACTGGCCCGTAAAAGGATGACATACCGAGTCGGACTCCCGAGGTCTCCAACTTCATCCGCTTGTGTTCGAACGGCGTTTCTGCTTCTTCACGATCATACTCTCCACTCACAATGGCTTCATTCGCGCGCTCATCTCTGCTGCGACAGACTCTCGCCCCCCGGGCGCCCTTCCCTCCAGAAGAATGTCGGCGTCTCGCAGGTCGTTGCTTTCCATGCCTCCGCTAAGAAGCAGATCCTGCCCCCGTTGCCTCGTAAGTAGAGCTCCTGCCATAAGGCTTACTGAGATATTGCCAATAGATGGATCTATTGGGTGTTGTTTAGAGGCACTTGCTAACGTGATTTTTGCGATACAGAGTCTGTCCAGGGAACCAGTATGTGATTTCCGCACCTTTCCTATCCCGACCCTCGCTTTTCGATGGCATTGAGTCCAAAAGTACCTGCAATTTGTGGAGATATACAGTCTCCGTTGTTATCAGCGCTCGAACAATGCCTATAGTCGAATCGCAAATATCGCCTTTCCTGGAGATCTTCGATATTGACCTATCCCGATAGTGAACGACCCTGCTCCCATTCCCGAAACCCACCCCTCCGAGGGCAGCTACCACTGGTCTTTTGAGAGGTTTGTGCTCCTTTTTCGCGCGCTGCAATGTCGACCTATATCACCCCTTCCGATAACCCCGGCATATGCGGAAAAAACCCCCGACTAACATCCACCTCAGACTGGTCTGCGTCGGTCTGGTTCCTCTCACCTTCGCCCCCTTCGCCGCTGGCTCCCTCAACCCCGTCATGGACGCCATCCTGTGCTCTCTGCTTGTCGCCCACTCGCACATCGGATTCCAGTAAGAGCCTCCCCGCGCGATCCTGCCATCCCCTCAGATCTACCCCGGATCCACAACCCGGAAATCGCAGTCTAACGTCTCTCTACTAGGGCCGCCATTGTCGACTACTTCCCCCCTTCCCGTGTGCCTAAGTTCCGCGCCACCTGCAACTGGCTCCTGCGCGCATTCACCCTCACCACCGCTGTTGGTCTGTACGAGTTCGAGACGAACGATGTTGGTGTGACCGAGGCTCTGCGTCGTATCTGGACGGCATAGAGTGCTGTTGCGGTTCTTCTTTTAGACATATTGTCTTTCTATTTCCTTTTTTCCCCCTGATTACCGATTTGGTTCTGGTCTACCCAGGCGTTCTGTTCCGCCTTTGTATATGTCGTTGATTATTTTTCTTTTGTCTCTCAGTCCGAAATTATTGATCGGTGTCGGATTCCTGCTGCTCGGAGTTGTTTCTGAGCTATAGAAAAAACGGAATATAACCTTGTACGAGAAGACAACCTTGGTGCTTTTTGTTTCTTTCTGTATACTATGTAGATCTGCAGCCGGATTTTGGGTACTCTCTGCACGATACATCAAAACATGCGGTAAATGGTTAGCAGTACCATTTAATATGAGCATGGTGTTTCTACTCGCCCACCAGACCGCATTCTTAAACAATTCTAATCCTTTTTAATTCTATCCTTCAAAAATCGAATAATGATGCAATGACACAGACAAGGCTAACAACAAAGGCTTCCTAATACCTCATACCAGAGACCCTCACTCATCCTCATCATCCCCAAGCAACTCCTCATCGTCATCCGCCCTCTGCATAACAGTCTCAATGACCTTGAGCGTTGCTTTGAGCGGCAACCCAATAACATTATCATAACTGCCATCAATCTTCTCAACAAGAATAGACCCAAGCCCCTGCAACCCATAACCACCAGCCTTATCCGCGCCCTCACGGGTGCGCACATAAGCCATAATCAACTCATCAGTAACATCACCATCAAACCGCACCGACGTCTCCTCAACTGTAGTTTCAACCGCATACCCGGGGTCCCGGGCACTAGCCAAAGGCGCCATAGCCACAAGCGCGGTGTAAACCTTGTGGTCTCGGATATCACGCAGCGAGCGCAACATGGCCATGTGGTGTGCTTCGGAGCGGGGCTTTTCGAGGATCGAGCCGGTGGACGGGTCGACGACGACCGTGTCTGCGGCTAGGATTAGAGCTGGCTCGCCCTTGATTTCGTTGTTGACTTCTTGTTCGTAGACTGCTTGGGCCTTTTTCGTCGCTGTTGCTAGCACGTACTCGAATGGGCCTAGGCTTTTTGGTAGGTCTTCTGCAGCGTTTGAGGGGATGATTTCTATGTTTGGGAGGCCCAGGAATGACATTATTTGCTTGCGGCGTGGTGATTGTGAGGCGAGGATTACGCGCTGGCTGCGGAGGCTGTTTAGGACTGGGAGGTTGAGGGGTGGTGGGCGTGGGAGTGGTGCCCCGCGGTTGGCTTTCGGGACGGGCTTGTCGTAGGCTGGGGGTGGGTCGGATTCGGTGGTCTCAAAGTCTTCCATGTGAGACAGGAGGGATTCTTTGGTGTCCGTCATGTTGGGCAATTTGGCGTTTGCCTGGTGTTTCGGATGTTGGTTTTGGGTGTTGCGGGCAGCGATGCAATGCGGGGAATCAGGTGCTCTCTCCGTTCGCTTGTTGAGGCAATGGCCTTTGTGTGTAGTCGATCGAGCTTGCACGAATATGTAACAATATTCAATTCGGAATCCCGACGGTCCACGAGGTCCTGTAGGTTACGGGTTTGTGTAGAGTGTGGAGTCCGCGTTTGCTTTACCTTGATGGGGCTCGGTTTCTCTGGCAGATATCAGGCGGTAAGCCGATGCTCTCGGTATACATCGATGCTATGCCTGTTGCAACCCCTAAACACATGTGCAATCTATACTAAGATATCACACCTGTCATCGCTGCATTGATTGATTACTTCGCCTAACTTCCCGAGCCTGTAGGATACGCTTCCTTGTATGGTTGGCAACTTAATGACTGCAATTATTCTCCGTAACCCTGTCCACGTGATACGGCCGAAGTACGGCTCGGTTAAATATTTCCGACTTTGGTTGAAAAGAAGCCGTGGGTGCTCAGCCAGAGCTGAAAAGAACTTGATTTCAGGCTAGCTGTTGGGAAAGGAAAACGCCCCAGTTGCTTCGCAGCAACAGCCATGACCATATACATTCTGGTACCTAGGAGCAGAAACAAACCAGAAAAAAAAAGCTTGGATGTACAATAGTAAAAAACAGTAGGAAGACAAGAAGTACAAAAATTTGTGGCACCGTATTTGATAGTTGTTTCACTCCACTAAATACGGTGGAGGATCGTGATCGACATCAAATCATATGGGAAGACCAGATCTGTTCAGGCAACGAGAAAGCCCCGCAATTGATCATTTCCAAGATCTCCGTCCGTATTTCGTAATACAGGGGTTGAATAGAAAGACAAGAAAAAGAGATTCGTAGTGTGGGTATAACGCCATGTGGCCCAAATTCGAGAAAACCGCTCGGACCTCGGCACATGCCAGCAAACCCAGATCGATCCCCGGCATCGACCAGCGGAGGGGAACAGGGTCTGCAGGATGCTGAACCAAAGCGCAATGAAATCCCGAGGTAAATAGAATCACGTCGGGCGGAAAGAGTCGTCCACACGGCCACCTTTGCTCTCAATCTCTGCGATAAGATCGTGGCGTTCTTGCAGCTTCACGTGAATAAAGTCCACAGTCTTCTGCAGAACGATGCTCTCACTCCGGCCCTGGCCCTCTAGACCAGGCACCAGTTCAGTCAGGCGATCGAAGCCTTCGCGAATGGCCGCGCGCCGCTTTTGCTCCGAGGCAATGTGATTGCTCTTTTTTTCTTGATCGGTAAGGCGAGGCTTGTCCTTATCCTGGGTAGATCCCTGCTTGGATGTCCCATTCGGCGTCGAGGACGACCGATCATGGTCATCGTCTGGATTCATCGTGGTACTCGATGACTGGAGGATTTCGAGAGGAACTGAGGGCGTGGGGTAGATGCGCCGGGGGTATAGTTCGGGGCTCGTGTTTTCGATTGGATGGGATAGATCGCTGTCGTTATTGTCGAGCGGCTCCGTCTAGTCAAGGCGTAAATGAGAGAGGTGATTGTAATGGGTAGGCAATGGGAGAATGTGAAAGGAAGAAAGACGGAATAGAGAAACACGGGAAAGCGATAGGAAGCGATAAGGCTAAAGGCCAATGCGGAGTAAAACTGGAGGCCGAGGACGGGGCCTTGGCAGCCTCTATGTTGTAAACGTCATAGAGAGGGTCCACTGAACATCTTGCCTTCTCTCTTTTTCAACGTCAATTTTGTTCTTGCACCCTGGACTCGTAGTCCAATTTACTATTTGAGATCATCTTCCCTTTCATTAGGATTTTGACCAAGCAAAACAATAATCTGGTCGCTCATCGCCAATCTACAACCGTCTATCTAACTCCAACCTTTCGAAGTTACCAACGCCGCGGTAGTTCTTGTACCACCATGGCCTTCGATCCGCTCCGCGGCTCATGCTCTTGTGGTCGGATCGAATACCAAATCAATATCCCGGACGATGTGACCGACCATGCCGAAGTGTACTTCGACAGCAGCCGAGACAATCGTTGGTAAATCTAAGCTAAGCTTGTCGATCTCCCGGCTAATATCGAGTCCTAGGTCGATTTCACGGAACGCCTCTTTCGGCATGGCTACGAGTGCCTCTCGACTGGTATCAATCCCACACGCTGTCCTTCTTCCCAGATGAATCACACTCTTCCATTCGCCGCGTTCATTCGCCCCGCCATGCACCCCAAACCCAGCGTGTCTTCTGTGGCTACTGTGGTACACCCTTGACGTTCTGGACAGAGGAGCCCATCGAAGAATCTAATTTTATGTCTGTCACAATTGGCAGTCTCCTAGTGGATGACCAGCGCGCACTGGATGATCTAAGATTACTTCCACGGGACTTTGACGAGGAAGCCCCCCCGTGCGGGTGTCTCGACCACATCTGATCTGGCATCACCCTCGGAGAACGTTTCCTCTTCGATTATTGCTTCGTCATCTACTGATTCTCCTAATATCTCAAGGAGTCTGCAGCGCGGTAGAACGGGGGGGGATTCCTTGGTTCGAAGAGATGGTAGAAGGGAGCCGGCTGGGTCGTTTGATGCGTTCTCGGCGTGGTATGGGCGTCAGTGATGATCAATCGACTTCAATTCAGTGGGAATTCAGTGAATGGCATGATGATGGAACCGGCGAGGGTGTGTTCCTTCAACAGGATTCGGACTCAGGCGGATACTTTAGAAGAAATAGGAAGCGGGTGAACCAGGCTGATGCTGAGGTTGAGTCTGCACCGAAGCGCGCAGGGTAATACCTGCAAGTCTCTATGGATGCACCTTGAGCTTTCGATGCTCAATGTAATAAAGGAGAAATTAATGCTAGCGCTTTTTTCTTTTTTTGACGGGAAGACAATCCAATACTGTACATATCACTCTCTGCACTAAGTAACGTATGTTGTAGTGGCCAGAGCTAGTTGACCTCTAAATTCAACATTCTTCATTGATTATCCAACATATCATAGGGATACTTTAGTCACAGTTTCTGGGCATGGCTGTCAAGGATAAGTCGCATACCTCACTTTTGGCCGGGTTCTTAGGGCTGTATACCCAGTTCATGGGATGTCCTAGTGGAGACTTTTAATTAACTCATAAGCTTACTCGTGCAGTAGTCGAAAAAGGTTATGCTAGTATCTTCGGCGTTCTGGTTGGTACTTCATGCAGGCGCTGAGATATATATTACATGCCACCCGCTTATCGCCTCAGAGACAAGACCGCGGTGCTTTCAGTTTTTGTACACCTCGTACTTTTTGCTTGCCATATCAGATGTTATACAATGCAACTCCAAGGCACCTGCGTTATAACATATAACATTGGAAGTGAGATCGACAAGTACAAGGTTTGGGTCGCAAAGCATACCCGAAGCGGTCAAGCGCGATTCAGACAACGTGGGGGCTGAGCAACATCTTTATGACTTCCTGCTTTCTACCAGAGGAGAATATACAATACATTTTCAAGTGCTAAACATGGTATACTGTGGTAAACCAAGCAAAGGATGTGGCGAGTGCAGGTCCAGGAAGATTCGATGTGACCAAGCCCAACCCACCTGTTCGCAATGCACCAGGGCCAAGCGGGACTGCCCCGGATATCGGGATCAACTGGCGCTAATGTTCCGCGACGAAAGCAAATCAGTAGTTCGAAAGGCGGCTGCGGCCTCGACACATAAGAATAAACGAGCACAGCGATCGCCTCGCACTGCAATCCCAGAAGGGAATCCTGTGCGGCCTGAGCTTGGCACCGCGGAGGTGGAGCTGGACTTTGACTTCAACACTGATCCACAGCATGTCTATCTTATGCGACAGCTCTGGAATTGCCCATTGGAGATCCAGCCCTCACAGGAGCTCGAAACCACCAAATACGAAGCAATCTGTTATTTCCTGCGATCCAATGCTATCCCCGGCAGTCTCTGGACTAATGAGACGATCTCCAATTTTCTGCTGCAGTCCGGGGGCCTGCGAGTCAGCAAGCTATGAAGGCAAGTGTGGTTGCTACTGCCACGGCTATGCTCTCGCGAGTAAGAGGATTACCATCGCTTAAAGATGTATCCCGTCGGGAGTATGGATCCGCTTTGAGATTGCTTAACACCACTCTAGCCGATGTGGAGGAATCGAAGACAAATCAAACATTAGGCGCTGTTATATTACTTGCCATATATGAAGTATGGGATCTTGCATCCTTGACCCCTCAGACGGTTATTGACGCCCTGTCTATAGTTGATTACATCGAGAGCCCCGGAAGATCTTCAGTGTTGGACCAACCATATCAATGGGGCAACAGCCCTGCTCGATATACGAGGCACTGATCAGCTTAAGACTGACGCCGGTCTTCGCTTGTTTTTGTACCTTCGGTTTCAGATTGTGAGTGTCGTCGGTTACCCCTTCGATCTTAACCTAACACCTCAATAGACCATCAGTTGCCTACAACGAGACGCACGAGTGCCTGAGTCATTACTTGAATGCACGAAACTCGCCATGTTTCTTCAGCCAGCAGAAGCTCACGGCAATCGCCTAGTCATGATAATTGGCAAACTATCGAACCTTCGCGCCGACATCTGCGCCAATATGTACAGCGACGAGCGGGAAATCGTATCAGCAGCGTCGGCCATCGAAGCCGATTTAATTGCCTGGCTGGCAGCTCTTCCCCCGGAATTCAGCTACACCACGCATATAACCACTCCCTTTGACTCTGCCTTCCAAAAGCGATTCCGAGGCATATCGCCGTACGACAACCAATACCACGTGTACCCTTCCGCCTGGGCCTGCAGTTCTTGGAACCATTACCGCAGCGCGCGAATCATCGTCAGCGAAATAATCCTTAACCGCATCCGGAAAATATCCAACAGTTCCTCTATGGCCTCATTGTCCGAAGAGTTCCGCCTCCAATGCAGGACACTGCGATCTACGATCCGGCGCTTAGCCGTGGAGATCTGTCGCAGTGTTCCGTTTCACTTCAACGCCCACCATGTAGAGCGGGAGTCTAATCTCCCACCGCCAGAGAGCTACCTTGGGGGTCTTGTGCTCCTCTGGCATCTGTTTGTGGCTGGAGTTGTTGAGGATTCCGGACACGGGCTGCACCGCTGGGTGATCAAGTGTTTGGAAATGATTGGAAACACGATGGGTATCGACCAGGCGCTGGCAGTGGCGGATATCGTCGCTGCTGATCCTGGAATTTTACATCCTGCGACCGAGGAAGAAGACCATCACCCGAGTGTCCTAAGCGTTTGATCTGATGAGGCGACATCCTGTTTAATCGGCCCATAAGGGCGATGCTTGCCAAGGAATATAAGTGACCGATATTGCTGTTTCTTTCCAATGTTTCTTTTTTTTCTCTTGTATTTATTACGCTGCACCAACAGCGTCAATACGTCTCTAACGATTTGTGTATTTCTTTTTGTGTTATAGCCTGGGGTTTGGGATTAGGGCGCCTCGTGTTTGATTATCATTATGACTCACGAAGTGTCTCCAACAAACAATCAAAGATAAAGCCTGTGCCATAATCAGTCATAGCTTCCAATAAAATTCCAGAAAACCCCTAAGAATGGGTCTTCAGTTCATCCTCGTGGGAACGTAGACTACGCTGCGCCCTGTGCACCATTGCAGGATTGCCGTGCGGGGCTGTGTTCGCTCCGCCACTAGTCACAAAAGACCCTGTCTGTGCACTTTGAAACTCACGGGAAATACATTGATATGATTGGTTAAATCCAAAAGCAACATTGGAAGCCCAATGATTCTACTTTACCTAGCAGGTGCCCGGCTCCCAAGGCATACGCGAATGAGCTACATTGCCCCTCACTTGATACCCCTGTCAGCAATAGGGCTGCAGTGGACTAAGTCTGCCTTGTGATGATGAAATTATGCGCCTTTGACAGACTTTGGGCTGACAATTTCATTAAAACCCTTGTCTTGGACTGTTGGGGGTAAATCTTTGGTCAGAAGTGTGCCTTGGCCCATGTCTCTCTGCCCTATACCATCCATTCTTTGTCTATTGGGTTCCACAGCTGAGCCCCTGATAGATGTCGGACATGTAGATATAAAGAAGGTGTTTCCTCAGTCAAACCCTTTGTCTGGAGCATACCATTTAAGGATATCTGTTTGGCATATATATATCTCACCTACACTTCATCTTACAACATATACAATCGTCAGCCATGGGTGCTTCCGAAAAGACATCGATATGGCATGCCTTCTCATCCCATCGGAAAGAGCGCAAAGAGTACAAAGAAGGGACAACCACAAAAACCACACCAACGAATTATCCATGGTCCCGAGGCCGCACCACTAGCTCCAAGACATCAAATGTCCCATCAGACCTTCCGCCACCGTACGAAGAAGCCCAAGTCCCAACAATCAAAATTAGCGCCCCCGAAGAACTAGGGTCCGATTCCCAGTACGCCTTCCTTGGCGAATTCCACACCATCTTCCTGGTAGACGACAGCTCAAGTATGAGAGGCGAACTTTGGCAAGAAGCCAAAGAAGCCATCGCAGCGATCGCGCCAGTCTGCACAAAATATGACAGCGATGGAATCGACATCTACTTCATCAACCACCGACCAAAGTCCAACACCAACATCAACACCAACTGCAGTTCCAACTACAACTACAACTCCAGCCGACGCTCAAAACACAACGCCGGCGGATACCACAACATCAAAACCGCACAGCGCGTAAACGAGATCTTCACCTCTGTCAGACCCTCTGGTGGAACAGGAGTCGGCGGCCGACTACATGATATCCTGGACCCGTACACGAAGTTGGTGGAAGCGAAGGAGACAGAGAGACGAGCGCAGAGGGACGCATCTGGCTCGGGCTTTTTGGCTAAGCCGGTAGACCCGGAGGCGGTTAAGTCGGTTAAACCGATTAATATCATCACGATTACGGACGGGGTGTTTACGGATGATGCGGAGAGTATTATTATCAAGACGGCGCAGATGCTGGATGGGCCTTCTTGTCGTGCTATTCCGTGGCAGGTTGGGATTCAGTTCTTTCAGATTGGGAATGATGAGATGGCTCGGCAGTACTTGGAGGAGTTGGATGAGGATCTTGGGAGCCGGTGTAATAATTTGCACATGAGGGATATTGTTGATACTGTTTCTTGGAGGAATCGGGCTGGGAGGAGGTTGGAAGGGGATGGGATTTTGAAGACTGTGCTTGGGGCTGTTCATAAGAGGTTGGATAGGAAGAAGGTTAGATAGAGGGGTTTAGTTTTCGGTTTTAGATTGCCCAACTTGTTACTTTGTATATGTTTATATTATCCTCCAATCGTATTATGTTGAAAGTGACATATCGTCAGATTAATCAGATTAATCTCAGGAACCGCCCAGGTGGAGAATACTCGGATGTTAGCTTTGAATCTCCAGGGCCAATGAGAATACCTAATTTACTTTGGTTTTGAGCCCTTGCAGCAAACTTGTGATGTCGCACTGCATATTTATTTGTTTCTAGAATAAATATAGTATGGAGTACATAGTCCATAAGGTACTCTATTCAGGTATACCCTACTCCGTACTCCGTACTCCGTATATATGCGTGAATAACTTTAACGTAAACCAAAAACTAATCTAATTAGTCTAATTAATCTAACTAATCAAATTAATCAAATTAACATAATCTAATCACATCTAATTGTGTGCGCCTTGCATGGAGATCGACGAACTACAATTGACGGGGCATCGGAGGATCAAGCCACACCAGGTGTCCGAGTGAGGATCCAGGAATCTGAGATCATATTATTTTATTTCCCTCTTTCCCTCTTTCCCTTTATATAACAACCTAAATTCTCCCCAATCGATCAGCACGGATTATTGAAAACTCCCAACTCCACTATTTCATCATTTGGTGATCGTCAAAAAGTCATCCCCGCGCCGATCTCCTAAAAACCTCGAATTCGCCTCTCAACTCACTTCTCCCTTGATTTTTCCTCACTTCCAGCCTACAGGGCTTCTCTTTCTACCCTTCCTATCTTTGTTCCAACCTCAATTTCCTCCCCCGTTTCAACCTCCCAGCCTGCAGCGCTAAGAGGCCTCTTAGCGCCGGACCCCCCTACGCAGGAACATTCCCAACCCGAGTGGTCGGGCGCTTCCTCCTTCCGCTCGCTCATTGGTCGACCTTGTCGCCTTGCACTGCGGGAAATTGGGGAAATTACACCGCGGTTCCTGAAGCCTGTTGATTTGGTTTGGGCCTTGTGTCCAGGCCATGGCTTTGTGATTGTCCAAAACCTGAAACGAACCGTTTATTCTTAGACCTGTCACTCGATTCTGAAACAGGTACAACGTGCTTCGAACCGGTAATTATAGCACCCGCCTTTGTGGAGTTGGCTTTGTGTGAGCTTGTGTGTTTTGTTATTTAAGCTCGGGCGGAGTCCCTTTCTTCTTTGGAGCTGTATAGACCACTGTCCTTTTTGTTGCCTTGCATTTGCGTGTATTCTACTGGGTTTCTGTCTTTTAGCATTTTCTTTGGTTGCTATTTTGCATTGTTGTGCAATTCTCTTTCTCTGATTCTTTTTATCTGTGCTATTACCTGCTCTGCTCAGCGATCTCTCTTTTACTCTTATTCTTCTTGCTGCCTTGCGATGATCTCGACTACCCTCATGACTTTTCTACTGTGAGTGTCCCCAAATGCAATTGATATCTCCATGCGCTGACCGCAGTTCAGTATTACGAAACCGGAGGTCCGGTCGGTCAAGCTGCTCGGATCTTGGGATAACTTCTCTAAGCAATATGTCATGGAAAGAGACACGCGAGCCGGTCCCGGACACTGGAAAGGATGCCACACTTTTACGGATATGATAGGCGATGGACCAGACAAGACTCAATGGCGAACAGGGGGTCTGAAGATGGGTGGTACTTACTGGTATTATGTGAGGCTCCCATGCACGCATACGAGATAAAAGAGCTAACAAGGGGAACAGTATTTGCTCGATGATGATATAGAGTATTACAACGAGGCAGAGCCAACGACGACAGTGTGCCCTCTTCTTCCCGGGCAGCCCATGAATGTGTTAAATGTCCCTATCATTTTACCCGACAGCCGCGCACATGGACGTTCGGCCAGTGGCAGCTCTCAGAAATCCGACAATCTTCGGACCATGAACCCCGAGGACAAGTTTATGAACCCACGGAAGCCGCCACCCCAGCCCCAGCCTGTACGTCTTCAGACATCTGCAACAGTCCGCCGCGAAGCGAGTCCCGCACACTCTGAGAGTAGATCTCCGATGGCCGGAATACACCGAAGTGTATCTCAGCCGCACAGTGCCGCTCGCAAGGGCCACAAGAAAGATTCACGTTCTATGTCTCCCCCCACGAGCCCGAGCCCTTCTGGCTGCTTTCAGGCAACCCGCCGAGGCGGATAGGAAATTCGAGCCAGTGCAACCAGTGAATACTTCTAAGATAGTACCGCAGCAGAATGATGTTGTTGAGCATCGCCGCAATATCCCTGGAATCAAGGTCAACGCCGGAATTGCGATCCCATCCTCGAGCTCTGCCGACAGACCCGGCCCGTCCACCATTCAAAGTCGCCGCGCGATGAAAGCAACTCCTGGAGAATCAACACCGGGTCGTCTTCTTACAGTGCAGACGCGTCCGGAGCCACGCAAACTCAGTCCTTCTCGAAGCGCAAACGGAAACACTGCGGAATTTGACGAAAATCGTGCGATCAGGGAAGCGCTGAAAGATATCGCCAGCTCCAGTGAATTGCCCACTCCAACTGCCGGGTTTACCAAAGAAAAGAGGCTCCCTACACTCCCAAACACGCCATCTTCAGTCATGGATGAAGCAGTTCGCGCCATCGATGAGAGAGACAAGGCGATGGATGGCGAGATCCCGCGCAGTTATTTCTCCAGCATGACAGCAACGACAATCGACACTACCCACTCCCGCTTCGTGCCTGAATACAGTCGGTTCTCGGAATGGAGTACTGACACTGAAACCGACTACAACCCGCACGAATCGATGACATCGGCCTCCGCATCCGACCAACACCAGGACGAGTCTTCGGCCGAAAGATGGAGAACACCAGACCTCTCCCAGTCTGGCGATGGTGCAACGAATACCGACCCAAACACCCCCCCACCTCACTGTCTATTCCAAACCCTCGTCTCCGAACTCAGCATCCGGAGAGCTCCCTCCCTGGAGCGTCAATCTTCCCGAACTCACCGTCTCTCTGTCCACACCTGACATCGACTGTTCCGGCCTGGGCATCGACAACGTGGATGAGGTGGAAAGCAATCCCAAGCGACACGCTGCCCTGTTTAGCGCCCTTGAATCTATGGAAGCCCTCGCGATGTCGCGTAGCCCCATTGGCTCCCCGATCCTGCTCCCCCCAAGTCCCTAGAGGATCTGACACGGAGCAAGGTATCTCTACCGTAGAGCGAAAAGTGAGCGAGGCTTCCCTTGAACGTATTCGCTCCCGTTGCAGCAATGCCTCGTTCCAGGGGAATGCTACCATGCAGGAGCTGATGGATGAGCTCAGTTATCTGAAGAATCTAATCCAGGCTGACATGGATGGGGCTCCATTTTGATGAGAGAATCTCTCTCAGAGGCTTCTGTCTCGTATTCTTATTCTCATGTTCTTATTATCATATTGCTGGCGCTGGTCGTCGGTATTGGAGTTTTTGTACTCCGCAAATGTATCATTTAGCTCTACATAGAGATGAAATCATATCAATGGAAATAAACCAACAATAAAAGCAGGTCCCAATGTATGAAATTGATTAAAGCAACCTAGTTGATAGTTGAAAGAAGTCGATCTAAACAGAGTGACGTTGGTGAATCCCATACCGAGATCGAAACAAAACACACGCGCCAAGAATCCCTCTTGTATCCACCACCCGCGACAGCTTCAAAAAGCACAACGCCACACCTCAATTCTTGAACCCTTGATGTTCCCAAAATAAGAATGGGCTGAATCTCCTATTTGTCTGAGAAAGAAACACCCACAATGGCAGCCGATGGTCCCCAACTGACCCCCGTCGGGGAAAAGTCCCTACCAGCAAAATGCAAGGCGCAGTCCGTGGCGTACTGTCCCACAATGGACCTGATAGCACTGGCGACCGAGGACGAGGAACTGCGCGTGTTCCGACTCAATGGGCAGCGAGTATTCGGGGGTTCTTTTGGTGGAGATCCGTACCTAGGCGAGGATGAAGAGGATGGCGAGATTAGAGGGATGGCGTGGAAGGGGAATGGTGAGTTTGAATTTCCTTGTCGCTGGGCTTCGTTATATGTTATTTTCCTATAATCAGATCTTACCGGCCTTTGTTGTTGATATCACGCGCGTTATTCACTAACGCTATACCAGGTCACCTCCTCGCTGTCGCGTGTGGAGATGGCTCGCTCCGCATCATCAGTTCGTACACCGGGAAGACGGTGCACCACTACCAGACCTATCAAGAAAAAGAGGAACACTCCAATCCCACTGAGGACCCAACACCCAAGGCGACGTGCGTTGGGTGGGGTGTCAATTTCACCGATAGCAAAGCCGCACAGCGGCATTTGCATGAATCAGCGGGCCAGATCTCCGTCGATGATCTTTTATCCCCGGGAGTGTATCCCTCCAAGGCAGGTGCCATGCTCAAAGCTGATTTACCCAGGGAGCTTGCCTTGCTGGACATTGAGAGCTCGCTGCCAAAGCTGAGCACCCTGCCTGCAACAGGAGGCGAGGACGATGTCTTCAGCTCGCGGGCCTCGCTCGACGCCATCTTTCATTCTTCCAAGGATACCAATGACTCGGTTGATGTGCTCTCCGTAGGATTTGATGATGGTACTGTCCACCTGCGCATCTTTGATTGTTTCGAGATTGGCTCTTTCCCTGTGGGGAGCACCCCTGGTATCTCTGACTCGTGCCGTATATTGCGACATGCTTCGCACCCCTTGAGCTCCACGCATGCTCTACTGACATCGCCGGTTAAGGGAGGTGCGCGTGGTCCGCTTGAGCTTGTTACGATGGACCTTCGCTTTATTACGAAGTCTGGGAGATACCTGTCTCTTCTTGCGTCGAAGACAACTCAGCTTCAGAATTTGCTCCGCTATATTGGTCAGGTGCAGCGGCAGATTGAGCTTGAGTGGAAGAATGCCCAAGAGCTTCCCGCGCGGTTCTTGCGTAGTGTCAATGAGGAATTGCAGGAGAAATGCCAGTGTGATTTTATCACTGCTATCTACCACCTGGTGGTTACTGGTCATTGCTTTGAGCCGATGAAAGAGTTCCTTACTGATATTGTTGGAGAAAGAGTATGTGAGCCTGGCAATATGGGAGATGTGTGCTAATGAAGGAAATAGGGCCACAAGAGATGGGATAAGGCTGTCTCGGGTGGCTACGAGAATATTCGGCGACTGACACACGAATGTCTCCTCCCGGCCTTGGAACGCAGTCAAGTTCTTCTCAGCCGATTAGTTGGGTTGTCTAAATTCCACAAGCTAAGTGATGTCCTCGGACTGGACACTACCAAGCTCAATGCTATCGTGGAGACACTTGATTGTCTCCATCTTCTTGCGCACCGTGTTCTCACACATGCCAACGAGGAACTGGGCCAATTTGCTGCTTTCTCTAGATGGCTTCGCTACGAAATCAACATTCTCAACAGCGAGCCCTTATCCCAGACACTGGAAGAGCTGCAGGAGAAGAGAGACTTGTTCGATGTCCCTCCTACTGTGAAGTATATTAAAGGCGCATTGACCAAAAGTGCTCTGCGGAACTTCATCCGCCAACTTCCTATGATCGGGGTTGTTCAGCCCCCTGCCCCTCCCACTGATAAGTGGCTTCCCGGTGGCCACGATCGCTCGTTCTTCGACACGTACAAGTCACTTCTTCACCAGCAACGCGAGTCCCGGGACAAGGGTGGTGATGGTACATCAGTCGAGACGCCTAAGCTTAATGACTTAACGAGGCGTCTAGGCATCCAGTTTGAGAAGGTCTTTGGAGAAATTGCTTTGACTCAGCGCAGGGGTATTCTCCATCGCTCCCCTTTGACCCTTCACTCTGATTGTGACCAATGGGTCACCGACCTAACTTTCTGCTACGAGGTGCGTCTGAGACTGTTGAATTCCCTCTTGTTCCAAATGCTAACCTGCGCCACAGGATGCTATTGAAGGCCAGCCTTGCTCGATATACGTCGCTACCCGATCAGTCACATCAAAACATCAAGGTTCGTCACACAATTACTCTTCAAATTCCAGTTGCTCACATCCTCGGAACTAGTCTATCTCTACCGCGTGGTCCTCAACTCCGTCGGCGGAGTCAGCTCAACAAGAAGTACCTCTCTCGCAACCCTTGACCTCCAAAACGGCGAAGTCCGCCAACTACAATTCGTCAGCGACGACACACTCATGGTTCTCTGGCGCGACAGCAGTAAGACACGCACACATAGACTTATTCTAGGCTCGGTACACACAATCTAACAATCTATCCGAACAGAAGGATCCTCCCATCTCCTCAACTTCCCCTTCCAGCCCGCCTCGACACAATCCCAAAGCGAAACAACCGACCCATCACCTTTAGAGCTTGACTACATTGAATGCGACAGCACGCCATCCGCTCCTAAGCCTACTATCTCAGCCACGACACTAGACGTCTCGTTTGAATCCTCCCACGCAGGTGTCCTTATACATCTCTTTGCTCCACATGGTCCTAAGGCGCGGCCTATACATGTCGATGTTAATGGACGCAAGGGACGGCGCGCTATTTGTGTTTTGTATGGAGATGCTATGCGGTACGAGGTTTTGGACTTGGATGCTGCGATGATAGAGGATGAGGAAGAAGATGAGGATTATCAAGAAGGGGATGAGGAGGAAGATGATGATGATGACGACGACGAGGAAGTTTTCGATAGTGATGAAGAGAATAACGAGAATTAGGATCACACTAATACATGACATCACTACATATGTACTAGTATTGATCCGATTCCTTGATTATTGGTGGTCGAGCAACTTCTAGAAGCAAAAGCAGGTGTTAATGCTGTTGGTGCAGCCACAGCAGTAGAAAATCGTGAGGCGTTTTGCGCGAACAAATGTCCGTCAGTCATTCTTCCGTAGCTACATACCTCTATACACAAAGCACAAATGGTGTAAATTCTAAAACTCAAAGACTTGTAATATTTCTGCGAAATTCGATATCCAGTCTTTCTGGCGGTCATCGTCTAAGGAAACCCGCTTCTCGTCCTTCGCAACAGCGTCCCATTCATCTCTGGTAACAGCACTCCACAAGGCGCAGTTGCTTGGCAGGGGGAACTGAAGTTCGCTTGCAGTCAGTGGAGACCAGGCATTAGCATCACCATGGATTCCATCTCTTATACTCGAGCTGCTTGCCTTCCCGCAAACTTTGTACAAGGCTAAGTTGAATCGTTTGATTTCCTCAATGCCAACCCAGACGAAGGAATCCAAGTCGCCTTCGTCATACTTAGCAAGAATGTTCGGATAATAGAACATGCCCAGCTTTCGACAACTTCGGACAAGAGCTCCGAGTAAACCCAGATCAGCAGGGGGAGAGAGATTTTCAAGTCGAAATCGATAGAATCCCGGTTGCTGATAACAAAAGAGAACATGATATGTAATAGGATAGCCTGGTATGTTGGTATTGGCCAGACACAAGTACTGCGAGCTCTAGCTGCTTCCGAGGCATCCCATTTCTCCTACCAGTAGTCTTAGCAAAGCCGGCATATTATGGGAAATATAATTTGTAACGCGAACCTTTTGATCTCGAAGAGCCAAGTCAAGTTTACCGTGCAGTTCCACTGCTGCCGACTGCGCAGACTGTTCCCGGGTAGCCCACAGGCCTATAGCAACCATTGATTGAACCAGGAGGGGCGTTTCCCGGCGTATGTCGAATGTTGCTTTGTGGATAAACGGCCAAGAGGGATGGAACGCCTCGAAATAAAGACGGATGCACTGCTCCGTCTTGTCTGTATTCTGTAATCGTGGCTGATCATGCCTCAAGGTCGATGCACGATGTGTTTCGGACCCGGGAGATTGATCTTCTACCGTGCTAGTCGGGTCGTTGAAAGAGCACGGTATCTTGCGACGTATACATTCATTACAAGGTACGCCTCCTTCGCAGCGAGATTTGCCTGCATGACAGCTTTCACAAGCTCGCTGTGCACGCTTGAGAGGTTCAATTATTCCATGACGCTGACGGAGATGGCGTCGAAGTGTGTCACTTTGAGATGAGTTAGAGTGGGTGATTGTGAGAATGTACAAAGAAGATAGACGATACCTTCGTCCGAATTCTCGGCCACAGTTCGTACATGGAAAAGCCTGCTGCTGAGAGTGTTTTCCTTCGTGGCGGTGCAGGTGCTCCTTGCGCCGGTAGCTGGCGCTGCAGCCGGGAAAGTGACACCTGAAGGTGGGAGAATTGACCTCAATTGGCGATTGCGGCGGGAGGTCTATTTCATTGCCTAGGCCTGCCATAAGATAGTCAAAAACTGGAGGTGATGAGCGACATGTGCCCCCGGTGATGTGCTGATATGAGTCCCGTGAACCGGCGGACGCTATTGGCTGATTAGGTCCACTACAATTTTAGAATGTACGCTGGTCTTCATTCCAATAAGCTACAAAAGGGGAAAATGACTTCTAGGGACGTCAGAATGGAACGTCTACAATTTCATCCTAGGCCACAATGTAACTTGGAATAACAAGAAGAAACTATATTGTAGAGAAATAAAATCGTTGTCCAACATGCCACTATATCCGCTGTAAATCGGCCCCCAACCGGCATCCCGCCGGCAACCCACCGGCATTCCACCGGTCTCCCACTGCTCCCCACCCTGTTAGTATAGCCTCTTTACTAACGTCATGATGTCCAATTTACTCATATTTTGTCATTTAGGTCCACCATAAGCCCCAAAATTACAAATTGGCTAGACCGGGCACAGGTATAAGTTTGCAGCAATTCACTCCCATGTTGGACACAATTACAATATATCCTATCTTACAATTCATCCGAATAACATCTTTCTTGACTTAACATGTCTCCTGCCATTCTCATCGTCGGTGCCACAGGCAACACTGGCCAATCTGTTGTTGAAACCCTGCCGAAGCTGCTCCAATCAAGCAATGCTTTGTCTGGGCACCGTGTCATTGCTCTTACTCGTTCCATGAAGAGCCCAGTGGCACAAAAGCTTGCCAAACTCCCTGGAGTCGAAGTGATAGAGCAGAACTGGGTTGAAATCACCTCTGACTGGCTCCGCGAACATCAAGTAACCAGAGCATTCATCGCATCACACAATGAACCACATCACTTCGCCGAAGAGTCTACATTCCACCTTGCTGCTTTGAACGCCGGTGTCGAATACGTCGTGCGAATCTCGACCACTGCTGCAAACGTCCGCCCGGATTGTCCCGCTTACTATCCACGTGCGCACTGGGCGATCGAGTCTCTACTCAGTTCGCCCGAATTCGCCAACCTGCAGTGGACTTCACTCCAGCCCAACATCTTTTCGGCATTCTACTTTTCAAGCGCCGCGGAATTGATCAAACAGTACCGAAAAACTGGAGAGCAGGAGACCCTCAAATTGTTGGCGTCGGAGGATGCACCCGTCGGAGTGATCGACCCTTACGAGGTTGGAGTCTTTGCGGCTCGTCTCTTGTCCCAAGAGGATGTTTCTGTGCACAACAAGGCCAAATATGTTCTTAATGGACCAGAAGACGTTACTGGGAGACAGATAGTGGAAATGGTCGAGCAGTACATTGGTACGAAGGTCGAACATGTCAGCTATCAAGACTTGTCATTCCTTGACCAGCTTTATGAGCACAAGCTTGCTACAAGTGGCCAATTAAAGAACCTGGTGTCTTCTTTCAGACAAGCTTTGGAGACAACGCGGGAAGGAAAATGCTCAGCTTCGACCACGAGCAAGGAGGTATTGGAGCTTGCTGCGCCTAAGATTACACCTGCTGAGATGTTGAAGGGCCTTCTGGAGGAGTAAGGGAATGAGTCAATGGTACATGTGTGATTCGAGGGTGTCGAAGTACTACATACGTGAACTAAAAAGAAGTTTTCGTTGCTCTTTTGTCCATAGTTTTTCGCAGATCACAATGAGAACATCCTTTCAAGTATGAGAAGACCATGTTATCCTGCCTATCATAGTTCTATCTAGCACTGTCGTAACTTATCAGCATGGGCCTGGGACGCCCCCTCCACTTCCAAGGTTTCTTTTATATAATCAGTCACGTTTGACCAGGTCCTGGATGTGTACATGTAATCCATCCGCATATGTCACTATCCTAAGAAGAATCCAAGTACCTACCCGATAGCCTCCATGGTGATGACGGCGGATTGCCATTTCACGCAACAGAAGTTGGACAATGATCTTGTCTCGTTTATTTCTAGTCTTCTCGACTTAATAGGTGTCCCGAACCTCCTTTGGAGCAACTATCCACTCACTGTCTTCGGAGTTCGCACGGCCGTGGATATTAGAATATGATGGAGTCTGTCAACAAGACTACAGTGAATAAGAAGAATGTGACCAGGATCAAAGATAATTGATGATGATGATGATGATGATGATGATGATGATGATGATGATGATGATGATGATAGAAATCTAACTAGCTGCAATGAAACTGCGCCTGTATAGCTTCATGCAACAAAGAAATCGAGGACAGAGACTAGAAACATCTAGTAGAAATCAAGCAAAGGAAGATCTGTCACACACTGCACGAAGGCAAGAGGGATAAACTGCATGAAAGCTCCGCTATGACTGTATTAGTATATACCATGGACGTATTGTCTCGAATAACCGCCTGGGAGCTGAACAGGGACCCAGCTGCGTTCAAGCTTTGGTCATGACTGCGCACTCCCTGGTGAGTCAGTTCAAGCCGAATCTGAAGACCATCGCTATTACTGACTAGCTCACGGACGATGTTCTCCTTTCTAGTAAGATAGCGGCTAAGATGTTTACCAAAGTCACTCCCAATCCAGACTCGAACAGGTGAACTAGTGAGATATAAAATGACAAAATTTACTATAGTCTCCTGCGCTGCTACATCGGATTTATTCCAGGTGTAATTCGGACACTGCCTTAGAATCCCTTGGACATGATTGCGAATAAACGGCTGATCTTCTTTGAAGCTCATCACAGCTGATGAGTCACATGATATTCCATTTGTGCCATTGAAGCAAGTCTGTGATTCCTTGAGCGCGATTTTCTTCGTGTATACAAGTGCTTATGGTCCGACATCTGAGACACACTTGGACAGCATCATTTCAACTCGACAAAAAAGTAGGGTTCCAGTAAGGGAAATGGAATATGCCCTGTGGATTGAAGACTAAGACAAGAGGAAGAGCAACATACTCGAGCAAGTATCTCCAGATTGTTAGATGAGTCGATAGATATACGGATCATATTGATCCGGGCCTCGTAGTCAGATGTAGTAGGCAACGAGCAATAGTGGCTTAAATGATCCCTAGTCACATGAAAGCCAGCTGAAATATAAGCACTTGGTTGACTTCCACTAGTAAGGTCAAATTTGAAAGGGCCAACTTTAGTTTGAGATGGTGGAGTGGGTGATTTAAGGAGTTTCACAATATGTCCGAGTTCTCGAATCGTTAAGGAAACACAAGGACATAAATAACCAACACCCATATACATTGCGCAAGACCTTCGCAGAGCTGGATCCGCGAGTGACCTTTTACTAAGTCCCTTTCGTGGATGGAGCTTCAAACACATTCCGCAATATTTCCAGGAGCGACTCTGAAGTCGAACAAGTAGTTGGTTTCTTGCCGCCTTATGACTTGTCACAGATAGTAGAATGATTCGGTGGCGTGCAAGTCGTGGGTATTCGAATTCCTTTTCTTTTAATATCGTTTCAAAGAGGTCGAATAAGCGTTTGCAGCTGAGAGACAGACATGCCTTATCGACTAGAGGGAGGTGTTCATAGATATTGTATAGCACGCTCTCTTGCAGACAAAGTATCTTAGGGAATTTCCCTATAGATGAGAGGGGGAATATTCTTTTGCAGAAACTCCAGGCTCGCTGTATTTCTCTCCACATCCGTTGCTTCTCATTTTGGTTGTGCTGAGAAGCGACAGCTAGTCTCCAACTGTGTCCCCGGTATGCAGTCTTTTTTCCACCTCCTAACAGACAACTTAATTCCTCATCGCTATCAGGATGACTCTGGCCTAGGCGAGGTAGTATACCAGGCAACTTTTGATGTGGCTGCATCTTTGAATCTCAGTCCGTATAATGAATGATATTGGATTCCAGCTTGAGTGGAATACAGTGGGACTTCCAAAATATTGGGCTAAGCGTTTGTACCCAGATATACCGTCCTCCAAGATCCAGGAGAGGTCAGCAGTCAAAGGTATGTACCTAAGGAGACTGCCAAAAAAGACTGCCAAAAAAGACTGCCAAAAAAGACCACTAAAAAGACCACTAAAAAGACCACTAAAAAGACCACTAAAAAGACCACTAAAAAGACCACTAAAAAGACATATGAAAAGACTATTGGAGCAGACTACCTTAGAAGACCAGTCAGAAGACTACGGCCGTATAAGCGACCGACTATGTATCCATGACAGTATATAATGAGCAGGCGGTATACTGGGCGGTATATCTAGGTGCAAAGGTTAGCCCAATATTTCGGAGGCCCCATATATGTGCGAAGCTTGGGAAGCTGAACGGGATACTTTGTCAATCAAGGTCTAATTACCATGACATTACATCTACAAGGTTTTGTCCGCCTATAAATGTCCAAGGCTCCCACGAAACCGGTTAAGTGGCAAGCTTAACTCACTATAGAAACCTTATCATCATGGTACAGGTAGAATTAGTAGTGAGTCACCGGTTTTGAAGATGACACCGTCGGGAGAGACCGGAAAATCCCTTTTGGTATACCCTGGTAGGATGAACTAGTTTGCCTCACTATATGACTGAAAAGCAGGACGAGGCAAAGCGGTAGTTGTTAGAACGGCGGATGTACATCGGCCCTACCGCAGGCTGAACTACCTGATGCCTTCCTCATGTCGATGTCATTCTCACATCTTTCATTCCAACAAAAAGTCTTCCCTCTCCATCCTTCACAGTTGCCAAGTCCATCATCCTCCATCTTGCTCTTCACTTCTTTGTTCGAGTCAAGCGCAGAAATATGTTTTCTAATCGGCGCGAAAAGTGTGAACGAGAGCGTGAAGCTGAACAACAAGCTCTTCCCAGCTTGTCTCGTTCCCGAGCTCTCGAAGGCCTGGCCAAGACGTACAACACGGCTCTTCGGCATCAAAATCTCCTCATTGAACCCGATTCCTACAAACACCTAGGTATCATATACAATGACCTCCCTCTTATTACTGACACAGCCCCCCCTGCCTCCAGATCGTCCCGATAGAACCTTCCTCATTGGCTGAAATTCCGCCCTTAGCCATGGATTGTCAGACAAACAAAGATGGACTGAAAAACATCGAACAAGGACGACGCTTGCAAAGGGAGCACTCCGCTTACAAGCTATTGGACGTTCAGACTGGGGAATTGGCTTATCAGATTATGTACTACTTCAGAACACTGATACGCGATGAGGGAAGTCGGAAAAATCGCGGGTTAAGCTGGATCGCTGACTATGTACCATGGTAGGTCCAACTTTCCAATCATCTTGCCGGAAGATACTGACATTCGCATTATAGCGGCAATATATCTCCAGACTTCATCGGTGCTCAATTTGATTCTGTCATGTGGCAATCTCTCTGGTGGACCCCATATGAAGTTTATCGACAACGTGATGAACTTAACCTACCCCACACAGTTGCCATATTAAATATGGCCGTCGAACCTGATGAAGGATTGTTCAAAGTGGAGGTTCAAACTGCTCTCGCAATCATGCTCACACGTCTTCAAGGCAAAGAGTTCCCTAATCACAACACTGTGCCGGTTATGATTGTCAGCATCATGGCAAGGATGCAGGCTAGAATTCTGCATTTGCACTACAGCCACGCAGGATTGATTATCAGCAAGACAGGCTTCCTCAGCTTCTCTACTGCGGAAAGCGCGACGCTTAACATGGACATTGTCTTGGGAATTATGGCTTCAAAGGTCATCGGTGATACCAAGGATCCCTCCAACCTTCTAAAGGTGAGTTGACACCGGCTGAGTTGGTCTTACTGCATTTACTAATGCGCCATTTTTGCACATAGCCCATATCTCCTACTGCTACCCCAGCTGAATCAGTGCTTGAGCCTTGCGAACGCAGCCAAAAAGTAACACAAAGCTTCACCGGTCTGTGAGCAGTATATTCATGCGTTCGGTGACAAGGAGGCACCGGCGGACGACGCAGGGTATCGCTCGTCCCTTTCTATTCGATCAACCTCAGAACCCACCGTCGCCGAAAGACTTGAGCGTTACTATGCAAAGCCCCCCCCTGGATCTCAGTTCGCTCACCCCATGCAGCTCTTCACGTACCAACCTGGGGTAGTGGAGCCCTTAGGCAAATAGCTATTTTTGTGCTTTATGATCAAGATGATGATGACAGCGAGGTGTTGTTGGGGATGATTCCGAAATGCAAGACCTGGCTGGAAGCACACATTTCAACATTTCAGATAATATGCCTTACGGATCAGATCCTCAATCAGATGTCATTACCTTAGCCACTAGTAATCTCCTTATTCCTTTAAAATTAATACTCGGTACGATCGTACGATAGCCAAAGGCGAATCTCCCAAGGCCACCACGCGGGATTTGCTGTATGGCGGGTCAGCCAGGAGGGCTTCCCCTAATTTCACTGGATTGAGATGCAAAAAGAAGAGCAAAAAAATCAAAGGAACGATCTTTCCCCCCTTCCCCCGGCCCATATCCTCCCTGCTCCCCCCCAGCCCTCCTCAACTCGCCCCCCCTTGCCACATTCCCACGTCCCCTCTAGTCTCTGTCCCCGGCAGTCAATTTGAGGAACTCTCTCATTTCCTTCATCTTCGGCCCCTTAAGCATCCCAGCTGAGTTGTTGGAGCCCACAACTTCCTCCGGAATATCCGGGTACTGGATATGGATCGAACTTCCCAAATGCACTGTTGGGATGCCACGGATATGGTTGTACAGAAGCAACAGACCCAGACGAAGATAGCCGAAGTCCTTCAAGTCTTCAGCCGACCACGACTTCTGATCGGGGAATTCGAGCAATGCCATCATGTACCGTGTGTTGTCGTCTGGCTGGTGCCGGTCTGCGAACTCTTTCCACGACTCGCGAGCGTTAAATTTCAACGTCAGTATCTTTCCCAGAGACCGACCCAGGTCAATCGTGTCGAAAAGTTTTTCCCCGGAGTCCGTCCCCGCCCTCCTCGTCGTCCTCGGGCCCAGAGTCGGTGTCTGCTTCTGATTCTGTATCCGGCACATACGTCGAATCCAGATGGTCATCTTTCGACTGGGAGCTCTCCTGGTACTTGATCCTTTCCAGGATCGCTCGGCAAACTCTCTTAGGGAGCTCGATGTCCGGCTCAGTGGAACCTCCGCCGTCTGAGTCAAGCTTATCCTTCGCTGCCTTGGCCCACTGGGCGGGCTCCTGGGTGAGATATGCATCCAAGGCGGCCTTTCGGATGTCATCAGCGTCGGACTTCTGCTTGATCAGGGTTCGCCCGTACCCGCTTGCGTAGCAAGCATTTACTTATGGCTGGATGTTGTTCAACAATTTGACCATAATCTCTTGCAGTGGCCGTTCGCCTGAGTTAACAGCCAGTTGCAGGCTAGCCTTGGCTGCCTGCTTCACGATCCGACTTTGATCATGGGAGTTGGGAACAAAACATCGAACTGCTGTGGCAGGGTAGAGTGAAGCCACCTATAGAGAAAAAAGGAAAAGAGGGGTTAGTGCACTACTTCCCAAACCACCCGTGGACAGCCCTGAGAAAACTCACCCGGAGACATCGGCCGATTGCCTGAGATTCCTGTCCCCAGCTCCTTCCCGGACTCAGGGGATCACGGGATGGCAGGCCATGTGTACCTAGGTAGATTTAAGCCCACTGTCCCGACGTCATATGTCATGACCAATACGCGCAGGTCAGACTTTGGGTCGTTAAATAAAGTGACCAACTCATCACGCTCCATGGCGGACAGGTGGGAGTGAAAGGCTCGGACACCAATCAAATGGGCACGTAGGACGAGTCTGATGAACCAAGCATTGGCAGGTTGTGAGTCGACCAAGATGAGCTTCTGGTGGTGGTTATAATTGTCGGGATTGAGCGGGTGCAGGACTTCGTGTCCCAGAATTTATAGTAGCAAGGGCTAGAAGAAGAAGAAGAAGAAGAAGAAGAAGAAGAAGAAGAAGCTATAAGAGGCTAGCTTATATACTAGCTAGCAAACATATAAGGCCTAGCAAACAAGGCAAAAAGACTGCTAAAAAGACTACTAAAAAGACTACTAAAAAGACTACTAAAAAGACTACTAAAAAGACTGCTGAAAAGACTGCTGAAAAGACTGCTGAAAAGACTGCTGAAAAGACTGCTGAAAAGACTGCTGAAAAGACTGCTGAAAAAGACTGCTGAAAAGACTGCTGAAAAGACTGCTGAAAAGACTGCTGAAAAGACTGCTGAAAAGACTGCTGAAAAGACCACCTAAAAGACTACCTAAGGTTAGTACGGCCTTATAGGGCCGACTAGTGTCAGCGAGATAGAAGGCTACGCAGGAATGAAATGATACAGGGGAAACTGCATTGGACTCTGGAGAGGAAAAGAAGAGAGAGAGGAAGCTATCTGCACGAAACTGAAAGTCCTGGAACCCGGGCTGTCACGTGACATATCACATGCTAATCACGTGACTGCTCCAACAACGAGTCTTGTTATAGGAGTTTAGTGTAAATCCCCTATAGAAGTTGATATTAGGAATTAACTGCTAAAACTTGTGGTGCAAGGCCAAAGCTTCGTAGAAATTTACGGTATGGCATACGTTAACCACTCCGCCATACTGCCACCTATAGCAGGAGATTGGTGAATAATGCCATCAAATACAAAAAATAGGTCGGGGTACAGAATGGTGACACTGCCCTGAATCATACAAAATGGCAAGCCCCCAATCTAGGTAAGCAACTGAGTCTTCCAGATCGATGCAAAACAAGCAGAGGAAGACTTATTTCCGTCAAAAATAGGATTTGAATCCTAAGGGCAACCCCAGTGTATCCAATTCAACGTATCCTACTTATCCTACTAAATACGATATAGAAGGGAGCCAAACCCAAGCACATCAAAGCCACCCGAGGTCGAGCCATAATTTCCACCGCCGCCCTCAACACCGTCTGTGGAATTTGCATTCACCCAGTCACGGTAGGCATCGGTCCAATATGAGTCGAGGCGCTTTATCTGGCCGTAATGGGCAGAGAGGAGCTCAAATCCCGGGCGAACAGTTCCACGCGCGTTTTCTGAAATGACAGTCTGATATCCCTGGTAGCTTTTGTACACAGTGTAGGGCACGTCATAGCCGACATTGTACTTTCCGACATATTCGGCCCTAGATTCCTCAAGTCAATAATCGTCTCAATCCAGATTTGCTTTCTTAGGATACTGACGCATTGAGAATTTCGTTGCTGTATTCGGCGAAGAGATCATCTCCCTGGTTGAACGCCTGCTGTGCTATGACACCAAGAAGCACCATGTCCAGTGTCGAATGGCCCTGGTCTCGCCCAGCTTCTTGTCCCTGTGTCAGGACCTTGTTTGAGCCAGGTTCCGTGTAGTTGGCAATTGCAAAAACAGGGAGAGCCCCGTTTGAAAGGCCTGTGCGGACATAGTTCAACGCGTAGTCGTACATAGTCTGATTATCGGTGAAGATACCGATAGCGAGGAGAGAGGCGAGGTTACATTGATCCCAATTGGCGTAGTAGTGATAATGATCCTGACCGTTATGTTCTTCCATGAACCGCGTGTTCATTGGAGCGAATACATTCGTCAACATGGTCGCAGTAGCAGTCTTGTCACTGCTGGCCCAACCAGGATAGTCAGACATAAGCTCTGCCGCATTGGCCATCTGGTACCCATAGATACCAGAGGCCAGGAATTTGTCGCTGGTGCCGCCGATTTCTTTCAGTGTGACAGCCCATGAATTCAGAATATTGATCGCAGCGTCTGCATAGCTCTTGTCGTCGGAAATTTTCCAGCGTACGGCAAGTTGGTATGCGGCTGCGGTGTCTTTGTACAGGGATGGGTAGTTTTCCCCATTGACGCCGTTGTCGCCTCGATACACAATCTCTTTGGGGTTAGGCTGGTAGGATGACTGGGCATACGGGCTCGCAGTCAGTAAAGTCCACGTGGTATTCCAAGGTTCATCGCTCTTGACGACATGGTTCTTGATACGTTCGAAATCTTCTGCGGTGTGAAGCGCCCCAGGGTGAATAAAGGCCGTTGCAGACAACGAGAAGGCTAGAAAAGATAGAAGAGACAGAAAGGCGGGCATCTTGCGGGATGTGAAAGATTTGACTGAAAGTACAAATTCAAGCAAACAGCTTGATCACAGTGCGTATGACCAAATGTGCAGTGCTCACGCTTTGAATAAATAGTCGAGATTCCTCCGAGATCTAGCCGATTATCCCCACGCTAGGCAACCCCCTGGAGGTTATTACTCAAGCGCAAAAATGATTGGTATAGGAAGCTTGACCCTAGCACGGTTAATTTACGGTGAGGCCACATAAATGCGTCCATCATGCAGCGGCTGCAGAGACGGGCGACGGGTAAATGTCGAAAACTGTCCGGCCTGACGCGCGTCCACAGATCGTATCATTAATATACGTAGGTGTTCATTTACGAACCTTAATAGAAGGGTTCGCCAAGAGGTGTCTGAGACGTTAATCTAAGTGACCCTAGGTTCGATTTTGACCCCATCCCCCTGAGCTCAGATGTCTCGGGTCTCCCCTGAGCTACTGGCCCTTCATGGAGGATCTACCTAGGTAATGGTTTGATGTGACATAAAGATGACCCACTTTGTCATGTGTCTGATGATCTTTTTTATTAAAGCAACCGGCATCCGGGTGAATGAGCGGCATTGTACTCCGTACAACAACTCCGTACCCCTTTGGGCCCCGTATCCGTGATAGATAGATGTGGGGAAGTCCACGGGTGTTAGTGGGGCAGTGGGGGCCAAAAACGTGGCGGCCCGGGGAAAACCTTGGAAGCTGGCCCGGTGACGAAATGTTATTTTATGTTCGTGGACTCTATCTAGATATTTGACGTCTCTGCCAACTTGAGACAAAATGTATAAGAACGCAAATTTTGTCTTTTCCGTTTGTCGTGCTTTCCATAACTCACTTGAATTTAGATTTCCAGCATGCATTTCAACAAGATCGTCCCGTGTCTCACTTTGTTACATATATCGACCGGGTTGGCTGTGCCCCACCCACAGTCGTTCATCCATCCAGGAGCACTGCACACAAACAAGGATATCGAAAGAATAAAAAAGTACGTGAAAGCTGAAGCTCAACCATGGCTCCGTGCATGGCAGCACCTTGAGTCTTCGACATTGGCCCAAGCGACCTGGGTTGCAAAGCCTCACGAGATCCTTGTCCGCGGCACCAATGCCACATGGCAGCCTACCCTGCACAAAACTATGGCGATGCATACCGCGACGCTCATTCAGCGTATCAACTCTCGCTTCGTTGGCTCATAGGAGGTAATACTTCTTATGCCGACCACGCTGTTGAGATTCTGAATGGCTGGGGCTCGACACTACGTGATATCAACGGCACCGAAGACAAATTTCTCGCAGCAGGCCTATACGGATATCAATTTGCCAATGCAGCTGAGCTCCTCCGTGTCTATCCTGGATGGACAAAGGCCAATCAAACCATATTTGCCGGTATGCTGAACGATGTATTCGCGAAATACAACTTTGATTTTCTCGAGAATCACAACTACAAACCCAGTTTTTACTATGCCAATTGGGATTTGTGCAATATCGCCTCTCTAATGGCAATTGGAATTTTCAGTGATAACCGAACAATGTACGACTACGCTGCTCACTACTGGCAGTATGGCCTGCCCGATAGTAGTGTTGTCGTGAACGGGGCGCTACCGTACTTTTCCATTGCCAACTTCACGGAGGAGGATTCCGGCAAGCAGCTTATGGAAATTCAAGAATCTGGCCGTGATCAAGGCCATGCAACCCTGTGCATTGCCTTACTGGGAGTCATTGGACAGCAGGGGTGGAACCAAGGCCTTGACCTCTTCTCGACATACCAACACGAGATTCTCAATGCGTCAGGCCCTCCCTTCCTCCTAACCTTAAGGAAAACCGACTGATAATTTCTGCCATAGCGCCGAATATGTTGCTAAATACAACACCAACCACACTGTTCCCTATGTCCCTTACACTAGCTGGGAGGGACTGCTGAGTGCTGTGGCTAATAAGAGCCGCTCTAGTGTCCGGCCAGGATACGAGGCGGTTGCATCACACTATGCTCGTGTCAAGCATATGAATGCGTCATGGTCAATGAAATACCGGGATTATGTTAACCAGAATATCAGTGCGGGTGTTGAAGGTGGCGGTGGTGATTATGGCCCTAATTCTGGCGGTTACGACGCGTTCGGGCACGGTACTTTGCTGTACCGTATTGGACTAGACGTGTAGGAGTTCTTTTACGTAACTGCAAGAATGGATTCAACTTTTCTTTTATTTTGAATTCGTCCTGCCCCATCAAGTTTTCTCTGTCTTTCAATCTCTTCACCTGACCTTTAGCCTTCCGGTTGATATCAGTTGATATCGGTTTTTCCTTTTACACTGTCCCGGTCATCAATTGTTTCACGACACCTGACTTCTCAAAACCAATATTGTCGAAATTCAGTATGTTCAATATCAAGGCACGACTTCTCGCCCTCGGCCTGGTGGCGTCCCTAGGGGTAGCCGATACGGCTGGCTTGGGCCTTCGGAGAGGTCGGAGTGATATTCCCACAAAACGGCACCTTTGGGCCGATAACGCTCACACCCATCGTCTTTGCATTTCAGAACCCCGCCGCGATTGATCGACTCTACCCATATATCAGGTACGGCCTGTGGCCGGCGGATCTCCCAAATGGAAATAAAACACTATCCAGCAATCTCGTTAAAGAGCACCTACCCAATACAACGGGCCCTGTGTCATTCCTTCAGGCTAGCGTAGCAAACACTCTGAACACCGAGAATGAGTGGGAATTTGTCTGGAAAATGGACTGGACAAACTGCTCTACACCGGCGAATCGAACCACTTCCGACGATGAGCGTGGGCTGGTCGAAATGCCCGATGTCGCCTTGAGGAACTATTGGCTTGGCCATTCCATCCGCTTCACTACGAAAAAAGGGGGCAAACCAGCCCAATCTCACCGCTCTCACCGCCGGTGACAAGTGCGGTGACACCTCAGCCCTTGCGTTCAACGTGACGAAAACTCTGAGAGCCCAAGCAGGCTACTATGAAGGCAAAAAGTGCGCCGTTCTGGAGAGTCCGGCGCCTACTGCTGCTCCTTGTAAGGTTAGTATCGCGCCTGCGGCCGCCTCAAGCATCTCGTCTACCCTCACCGCAGGACAGTGCATTGCTCCTACCCCTGCCATAAGCTGCCCAGCCAAGAAGGGCGGGGCTGCTATCAATGAGGTGACTTCTCAGTTGAAATGGTGGGCTGCTGGTGTATTGCCTGTTGGGACGTTCTTCATTTAGATGAGACTCTGTTCATATTTCCGATCTCTTCGAGTATCTTACATGTATATTTTAAAAGCATTACTGTTTCAATGAAATTGAATTTTCAATATTGCTATATTTTGTAATCTCAAGAATGGGGCGAACATAGGGTCACATTCGCCTTGAATTGAGGGAGTCCTTCACCAAATCAGTGTTGTTAGCTTTTTCGGAAACTCCACGCCGCAGCCGGCTCTTAATCTATAATATGCCAATATGCCACTAATCTTCCTAGCCGCAGGCCTTGCGATACCGGAGTCTTTCGTGGATCACAGGCAGATAGACGGAGATCTCCGGTCACTCCAGAGTCTGACCTGGATCATAGTAGACTTGTGGCTTGCCAAGAGTCATGTAAAGCTTCAGTAGGGTAGTAACCTTGGAATTCGATTGGTTGGTACCACGGGCCCAGTTGGACCCCGTAGGGCTGCATACGCGAGGAGGACTTAGGAGTGTTTTGTGGGGGCGTGTGTCGGCTTCGTACTCAAACAAGCTTAGTTCTGCGACCTTACTCCAGTAGCGATCGTGGTAATGTCTTGGCCCCACAGGCAGCGATTTAAATAACGCGCGTGAGGCTGAGATCTACTCGTACGAGTGGTAGTTTTTACGTTACCGAAGTTGCCGATAGCCTTCCGAGTATATATTGTAGCCCTGCCTACCTAGGTAGGTAGGTATGGAACTGCTTTTGGGGGCGAAAAGCGGGGCAAACCTTGGTAATCTTACTTAACATGGCCAATCAGCATCAGGCATAAACGCCTGCAGATTCCTATCACACTTGCCGGTCCGGTTCACCAATTGGACATCGCAACTAAAGTACGGGTGGAGATCCGCCCAGGTACAGGGCTGCTTCGAAATCGGCTTCCAAGGTTAGCATGGAGTTGGAGCGTAGCCGAGATTTGCGAGAGGCTGATGCCAAGGCTGAAATTTGAGCTTGGGCTGGCATTGTGCAGGGTTTGTGATGGACACTTGGTCCATCGGGCACATTTAGTGCCTTGGCATGCTTCCAAGGTTACAAGTGAAAGCTGCATACGAGTGTATCCGGCCCTTCCACACCATCCTTCCTATTTGGGTCTATCAAATGCAGTACTACTACTGTCTAGAAATGAATACTTGGGTACTCCAGGCTCTTTCTACTAAAGAACGACTATGAAGAATACGGGAAGGCTGCCCTTTTGCTTTTTATTAGATACATACATGACACTCGCAATCTCTCATACTAGTAGACATAACGGAAATTTGGGTTCTCGCGGTCCGTAAGGTCCTGGAAAGCCAGGTCGTGAGATATTTCACTTGACGCCTGTTCCTTTGAACGGTTCCTAGCCATGATGATCAGACGGCTTAAGACAACAATAGCAATATAGACCGCATAAATTATTATATGTGCCAAGAAGCCATGCAGATAGCGGGGAGCGTCTTCATCCCGGAATATCTGAGGTGCAATCAGATTACCAACTGACCAGCCAATGAAGAGCAGAGTCATAGTAAAGCTCTTCTTTGATTGTCCAGCAATATTTCGAGTGATAAGGGAGATGATCATGTTGCCTTGTGCGGGGAAAAATTGCGTGCAATAGAACGCGATCAGCAACCCCCCTGCGTTCGACGGAGTCGGAGTAACGACCAGGATGACAATTGTGCCGATAATTGACGGTATTGTATATAACTGTTTTTGGATAAGTCACTGGAACATTCAGTTATGGGTTGGCACGGTTGCTTACTATCATCACAAGGCACGTTTGCTGGAATCGTTGGGATGCCCACGCAGATCCAATCATGACTATTATGCTCCAGGCTCCCTGGGCGATATTGAGAAGCTGTGTTTGAAGAAGCGTAAAGCCAAACTTTTGGATGATGAGATTAGAAAATACTCCAAGGCCACCAATAACCAAGTTAGCAACCAGAATGAGCATGACACAGCACCAAACTAGGGGATCTTTGAGGGCTTCGACCACCTGGTATTTCTTATACTCTTTATTCTCAATGCCCGTCTCGTTGTGTCGAACTCGTTCAACCATCAGACGTTTGTCATCCTCGGAAAAGCATTTGGCAGAGAGAGGACTATCTGGAAGGAAAATGCCGACAACGACCGACCAGAGGCACGTAAAGAGACCGAGCACCAGAAACAGAAGTTGCCAATTTTTGATTGGGCCGTTCGTGAAATGGGAGACGCCAAAGCCTAGAAGGCCTCCGATCTGAAAGAGTTAGCAAGGTCATAGAGAAATAGGAAAACACCACATACAATTAGCTGCACTCCACTCATACAATACCAAATCGAGTTCAAGACAGATTGTTCTTCTCTCTTATACCACATTCCCGTCCTGTGTGGAAATTAGCTCACCACTTAATCAAAGGAAATACTGAGAGCACATACACTAGCATCATTGCTGGCTGAACACAGCTCTCAAAGAATCCTAGCAAAAAGCGGACAGCCATGAGAGACGCAAAGTTCGTTGATGCCGCTGAGCATGCCACAACAGCTCCCCAAATGAAAATATTGATAGTGAGTATCTTCGCCACGGGGAACTTCTGCAGAAGCAAGTTTTGGGGATATTCCCCACAGAGGATGCCAATGTATAGGATGGTCCCTAACCATGAATACTGAGTAGTATGCATTAGCTACGGGTAGACAGAAATGGTACTGGGTATGAAGGACTCACTTGTTGGCCCACGAGGTGGGCATCGTCTTTGATACCCATGATGGATGCATAGTTCAAGATGCCTTTGTCTAAAGATTGACAGAAGTAGGTGATGACCTGGATGACAAGGACACGACGTGTGATCATCCAGAAAAGTCGTCGATCAGTGGCAGCATCCATTTGAATCCCAGGAGCAGTCATGTAGGGGTCCTTCTTCTCGTTGCCATCGTCGGTGTTTGTAGCATCCAAGTTCGATTTCGTCTCCTCATGCTCGACAGTTGTCGCCATTTCGCTTTCTTTGTAGGCCATAATGCGCAATGAAGTAGCTTAGGACTCGAGATGAATAAATTAAATTTCTAGTATTCGGATGAATCCAGATATCTATACCCCATATGATTTCCGTTGGGAATCTGATTAGCCGACACTTTGCCCCCATTTGCCAAAACGGCCTACGGAGGGAGCGCCGGACATTCTCCGACTTAATAGAACAAATAATCCACTAATCCCATTTTGGGCTAAATCACCCGAGATCTCATCTCTAAGAAGATCCTTACTTCTTACATCCTATACAGTCAGTAGTAATTGATAGGAACCGGAGTTGCTCCAGCACTTTCCCCGTTCTCCGGGGATTGTTCAACACATGCCAAAAGGAAAAGTCCCATTCAAGCTAATGCATAATAAATTGTAATTCCTACTAACTCTCAGCACAAGACCCATTAAACTTCAACCATGGCATCTACCTCGTTGATTCACACATACGATAGTCCTCCGGATCTTTTGATCAATCCAGATTTCATCGTTCATGTGCAGCCAAAAACAGAACACACCGAAAATCCATGGTCTCCAGTCGTCGCATATGCCGTTGACGTGGCGAATGCGAGCACCATTCGCAATGACTTCAATTATCACTCCGTCGCAGTGGCGTCCTTCGACTTCGACGGACCTGTTAGGGTCAAGGTCACGTATACGCTAGGCTCAGTCGACTTAGCAGCGATCCGACCAGCCTCACGAGGCATCACCACTGAGTTGCGAGATAACATAATCACTTTCACTTTGGATCGCGCTCAAGACGTGATGCTCGAACTGAATGGCAATAAGTGGAAAGCCCTCCATTTACTCACAAACACGGTTGATCCACACGCCCCCAGCGAGGATACCGAAGACGTCTGGTACTTTGGACCAGGGTTAAATCAGGGATCGGCGTACTTGAAGATCACCGACGGGGTCAATCTCATGATACCGTCAGGTACAACCGTGTACATCGCCGGTGGAGCTTTCGTCACCTTCCGGCTGAACTTTGTTGGTGTCTCCAACAGTTCCGTGCGAGGGCACGGCTTTATACTCGGTCCAAAGGGTGGATACATCCATCGAGAACACGGTGGTGCAATACATATGAGCCAAGCGAGTAATATTCGTGTGGAAGGTGTCACGTCCTTGGGAGCAAACGGATTCAGTCTCTCCGCAGGAGAATGTACGAACGTGCATGTCAATAGATATCGCTCGTTCTCATCTTCTGGCAACGGAGATGGAGTGGATTTCTTCTGTTCGTCCGATATCATGATCGAAAATTGCTTTTTGCGCAACTCCGACGATACCATTGCGCTCTATTCTCACCGCTGGGACTGGTATGGTAATTCTAGCAACATCACAATTCAAAATTGCGTTTTGCTTCCCGACATAGCTCACGCTATCATGATCGGTACGCATGGCAATTGCGAAAATCCGGAGACGACCAGCAATGTCACGATTCGGAATATTGATATCTTGGATCAAGAGGAGAACCAGTTGTGGTACCAAGGATGTATCGCTATCAACGCTGCCGATTCGAACCTAATCCAAGATGTCAATATAGAGGATGTCCGAGTGGAAAGGATCACCTGCGGCCAACTTTTTAATATCCGAGTGATGCAAAATGAGATGTGGACTACTGGCCCTGGGCGAGCGATTCGAAATGTGACTTTCAAAGACATTTCTTTGTGCACGCGAGTCTCCAGAACAATTAATCCGTCCCTCATTTTGGGTTATAATGAGGCCCGGCAGGTCGAGGATATTACTTTCGAGAACCTCAAGATCGATGACCAGGTGATTCACGACCAGATGGAGAAGCCCAGATGGTACATGGTCTCGGACTTTGTTCCTTTGTTTGCCAATGAGCATGTCAAAAACGTCAAGTTCATCGCGTCATGAATTATAGCTTGTTATCAAGGATTCTTTAGCCTCATAGAAGTATTGAAACGTAGATCGTGTAGTTTAGTGTGAAATCAACTCATCCAAGACTCCATGGCTTCCTAGAATAATACAACCTCTCTCTATTGCCTGCTCCGGCGGATGAACAATATTAAATTCGGTCCATTTTTGAGTATGGTGTCGGTTAGAAAAGTTATGGGACGTGCTGATTATCCGAATAGGGCCAATGACAGACTCTGGTAAACATTGAGTGTGTCCCTTTAACTACCCTATACTGGCTTAATTAGTATCTAGATGCCACACAAAGCTAGCCTCCATCAGTTATCAAATAGGTACTATAAAAATGAGTTTGGCCTCAACATTCCATGCTAATTGAAACTGTGTAGGGATCCGTAGTAGATTCGTTGGCACCAATTTCCTAGGTTAATCAATGCCTGGGCATGTGTCAGAGATCTAAACGTGTTCCGATCTGCATACAGCGAGCCGCTCTACTTGATATGCTGGACACTATCACCCCCCAGAGCCGATTGCCTGGTCTCTACATGGCGGGTGAAGTCCCGGAACAATCCCCGGTACTACGAACCCCCCCCCCGGAGGCCAAGATTGTCCACAAGAACACAAGAATCAACAAGCCAGTTTAAATGGCCAGGTTCAAGTATCTTAATTTGATCTTCTTTCTTGAATATTCGATATAAAGGTTACTACGTTGAATCGACCTATTTCCGCTCAGGTCTTTCCAAAAATGCATCTTGATAACAACGCCATCACTGTATGTTTGAGCCCAATACGTTCCTCCCGTATATTCTTGCTGACCTTTTTACAAGGAGCACATTACGAAGCGGACAAGTCCAGAATTATGGGACTCCAATCGCGTGAATGGTTTCAAGAGCACGGCCCAGCCATCGCCAGAGCAGGTGACAAAGGCACTTTTCTCAGAATCTGTCGAGGCGAAGCTATGGACTGTGGCTGCTCATGCACTGAGTAGCGTAAGAACCTTACCCAGCAAATCTTCCAATAAACCAAAGCTAACCTGCACATGTATGTTTAGTCCAACCCGCCCGTGCTCTATCCGGAATATACCGACGATAGGGGCCAATATGTCTACCGAACCCTTGATTTCTGGACATCGGGCTTCTTTCCGGGATCCCTTTATCTTCTGCTCGAGCGGTCGACTCGTTATAATCGAAATGCACGTCTACCTGAACCTGTCGACAACAACCCCGAGATAAAGACCTCACCCACTCCTACTCGAGCACCTATGTCGGTGGTGGACGGCCAATCTTCATCAGAACGCACTAAAGCGCGATACACATGATGTCGGGTTTATGATCGCACCGTGGGCTATGAAAGCCTGGGAGCTGAAGCGGGACCCAGCTGCGTTTAACAGTTTGGTCATGGCTGCGCACTCGCTCGCGAGTCGGTTCAACGCTGTCACGCAGTGTTTGCGCAGCTGGGACATCTGCGTTACCAATCGGTATAAGTTCACTGATCCATCGTTGGATTTCTTGGTGATCATTGATAATATGCTCAACCTCGATCTCCTTTTCTGGGCCGCAAAGGAGACTTCGAATTCCGCTTTATATGAAATTGCACTGGCGCATGCGCGCACGACACAAAAACACCATATCAGGAAAGACAACAGTACATTCCATGTCGTGAACCTTGATGTGGAGACCGGCAATGTCAAATCTCGATTCACAAACCAGGGCTATAGTGACAACAGTTGCTGGACTCGTGGACAGGCATGGGGGATTTTGGGGTTCATGCAGACCTTCCATTGGACTCGGGATATGTCGTTCCTGGACACAGCCAAAGACCTGGCAGACTACTTTATTGCGCATTTGCCGGCTGATGGAGTACCTTACTGGGATTTCAATGCGCCAGTGACAGAAGCGTGTCCCCGCGATACGTCTGCAGCTATGATCGCCGCTTGTGGCATGCTTCTCATTTACAAAGAGCTTATGGGTAGCCACGGGGCGAACCACTACCTCCGTCAAGCAATAAAGCTAGTCAATCGGGTTGTTGACAAGTTCATGGACCATGAACCTCTTCGGTTTGAGGCTAAACCCCCTGCATCGCGAGTTTCAGTCTATCCAGATGGCTGTATCCATGAGGAAGACGGGGACGGCTTCGATATTCTGCACACTGTGCATGATATTAGCACGGTGTCAAAAGCGTGTGAGACTATTCTGGGCGGTGCCACCATCAATAACTACGAGTTCGCGCCAAGAAGGTGGTCAAACCACGGGCTGGTTTATGCGGATTATTACTTTTTGCTTTTTGGCAACTTGATTCTTGAGATGGGGCTTGACGATCCTAGCGTGATGATAATTCAATAGATGGAGGGAGTCGGAGTTGTGCTTGACACTCGTCGTCTTTTCAAAACGTCAATCTACTAGAAGATACACAATGATACATTTGATTGAAGAACATACGTACATTAGTATTAATGCTTTCGCCCATTGATGTTGTCGGTCGTCGGGAAATTCCTTGAGCCATTGTCTGGGTCCTGGCTCGTAACATGTACTGCACCATAGCGACTTATCCTCTGGCCGGGGTTAGGGGTCGGATTGAAAACTTGCGCGAGGTCCGCTTGAAGATTGAGGTCATTTCCAAATGCCGCATTGGCATCTTGCCATACATCAAGACCCGGATCTTGTGACTGCATATTCAATTGGGGGTTCGCCTCATAAACACCAGATTGCCCATATACGGAGATCTGGTCTGATGCAGAAAAAATAGGAAAGCCTTGCTGGAAAGACGGTGGGAGTGGTGGGAAAGCCAGGCTAAATGGATCCAGACCATACGACTCTTGGGGCGACTGTCTTCTCATGTCTCCAGCATGATGCTCTTTATTGGAAGCTCCGGACGTGTGTATACCAGGCTGAAATGGCGAGGTGCTGGGAGGAAGTAGTGCTGCAGGCTGGCCCTGGCTTTCGTCCCAATATGCGGTTTCCCTGATATCTAGACTCGGGCGACGGGCAGCACTAGAGTCGTTTTGGGCATTTATGAGTCGCTTCGCAAACGTCGAGGCCAGGTTGTCGCCTATTGAGCCTGTAGTATCTTTTTTCCCGGTCCATCGCTGGGAGATCTCGAGAAGGCTCGCAACCAAGATATCGAGAGCAGATGCAACAGTGACTTGGTTGTATCTTGCATGGGCCAGGAGCATTCTCCCGGCAATAAAAAGACAGAAAGAAAATTGAGGGTTGGTAAAGATGGGCGATAATGAGAGGAATTGTTGCCCAATAGTAGCAATCTCGGATGCAGCCTCTAGGCATGTTTCTGCAGATGATGTAGATGGCAGCTTGATTGAGCAATTTTGCCAGTGCGGGGGTGGATAGGCAATTGCTTGGTGCAATAGAATGACCGCGGTATTATGTGTGATATGCGCCAGTGTCAGGTTCGGGTCCATGACCCCGTCGGAATTCAGCACGGATGCCTCTCTCCACCTCCGGGGCAGGTACAGTTTCCACCTAGAGGGTATCATGACGTTAGTACGCCACACGCGCAAATTGAAGCTACAGAACGAACTGGATGAGTCGCAAATCCAACTCTTTGAATTTCATCATCCAAATCCGAGCTTTCTCGGCATCTGCAACAATGAACGCATGGTCGAGGAAGAAATTAGTGACCAGCGTAAGTGATTCAGTAGCCTCAATATTGTACGCAAATCCACCTATTGAGAGGTCGTCATCCGAGCTTGTCGACACTCCACTGCCACTTAGAAGCGATGAGGATGCTGCGGTATCCTTTGAATCCGAGATGCCGAAGAAAGGCGCGCAAATCTCGGTTTCCTTCTCCCAGACCGCTCCCTCACAGGGAAGGCGACGTTTCAAACCGGCGCTGTCCAGGCTTACCTCCCGGCCTGTAGATACACTACAGAAGCGATCCATCAAGAACACAGCCCAAAGGATTCGCCGACGCTCCTCCGCTTCGCTCCAAGACCTTGACGGAGGCAGGAAAACCATACGCCGAATCAACGACTCACCCGAATTGGTTGGACGGTATAAAACGTCTTCCTCGACCCCGAGTTGAAGTTGATTTACCGCGCCGATAGCACTGCCGACGATAGACCATGACGAAGGTCCGCATCCTCGTTCAATCTGCGGAATGAGAGGAATTAGTTGACTAGAGGGACCGAACGGTCTTTTTATGCGACTCACTGTTTCAAATGCAATGATTATTAGTGCCTGCAAGTTCTCGACCGAGTAACAATCGGTGCTGGCCAGTATCACCCTTTTTCTGCTCTTCTCTGCGACAGATGCCTTCGTTTCTGCGTCACGTAATTCTTTGCTCTTGGAGAAACGTACACATACAGCGATGATTGCGTGAAGGATGCAGGAAATACGAGGACGCTCGTCTGGAGATTGCATGCGCTCCCAAAACCTTCTCACGTGAAGAATTGGTATCCAGGGGTGTATATTAACAAAGTAGAAGCCCACGAGCTCCGTCATAATCTCGGTCGAAAGAAGACCGTCGGCGTCGCCATCCATGCTGCCTGGGACGAAGGGCGTAGTAGTCACCGTGCAGCGTCGTCTCTTTGCTGGACGCGGAGCTGACTCCGCACTCGCGTGGACTTGTTCTTCGTCCCTTCTGGTCTACTGACGATAATGTGCGAAGCAAAGCGGACTTGAGCTCATCTCGTCGCCTAGCCAGATCTTCAATATTGGTAGATCGCTCGTTTGACGCTGATAGAGCCCCATTCGGATACATAGTCTTCCACATCTGTTGCCAGAGTAACTCCTGACCGAGGAACATGTTCTCGAGAGTTTCAACGCGGCGATAAAGTTGGTCCATTGCGCCAGTGCGGAGGCCCGGCTTCGTGCGACGCTCATCATAGACGCAGTCGGCGCCGGAGCGGGCGCATTCTACACAAGGTTGGGTCCGGCTGCAGCGGGATTTTTTCCTTCGGCAAAGCTGGCAAGCGGGTAGATCCTCATGTAACTTTGATGCATCCTGTGGCTCTTGGCCATTGGCCTCGCTCTCGGTATGGGTCGATGGGGGTGGCATCGAAAGTCTCTCAAGTCCAACACCTATTGCAATATTAACGAACAGTGCAGATGGAAACTTCTACAGCATCAAGAGACCTATTGTTTAACTCGAGCGACTTCACCGTTAAAGGGTGGGGTACGGCAAACGCACGAAGACACGTGTTCTCGGCTGGAGAAGAAACCCCATGGGGAAAGTAAGTTCGCGCACCTGCACAAAAGTGATCATCGCCATTCATCCGTTAGAAAGGGGACCGGGGGAAGCGGAGCAACGGGCAACGGACAACGTTACTCCGGATTCCTCGCACTATCGCAGCCTCATTAATGTAGTAGGCTATTGGTGAAAAAGTCTTGGACATGCATATAAAAAGGCTTAGAAAGGATCAGTAAATTGTGACTTCGGCGATCTCTTAACAATAAGCCGACACATCTAAACGTGAAAATCTGCTTAACTTACCCTTACTACGAGTATATATATCCTAAATATACATAGAACAGTCCATTTCAGAAACTAAGCCTTTTTGGCCCTTTTCTCTGTCTACCCAACAATATGAGAAGAGGAGAAAATAAATATATAACCAGACATCTAAAAAGACCACTAAGAAGACATAAGAAGACTATCAGAGAACATTGAAGTAAGAAGACAACCAAGAAGATTCAAAATTACGGCCGCATACGCGACTATTCTTGAGATATATTTCATAAATAAAAAGGACGTACATTTTGCATACTCAATCCCGCTACTTTTGCACCACAATAACAATAGGTCTCCATTCCTATAGCCTTGGCCAATTTCTTCATGACCTATACGGCTACAAAATCCTTTAGATAACGGCTTGTATCCCTCATAGGCTGACTGAGTTAATCTATATCACGGGAACGATGAAAAGAGGCTATCGTATGGTGGGAAAGAAACCTTGTGAGAACACTCGAATTTTATTTCAAATGTCTTTGTTTATGTAGGTATATTCTTTCTTCTTGTTATAACCTTTAAAAAGGACAAGTACCACACGGCAGTAGACTAATCATATAAGAGTGTGGCAAAAACCACAGATCATACAGGGCATTCTACTAGTAGGACTTCACTAGTAACCATGATACTTCTTTGTGTAAGTCTCGATAGAGTTGTGAGACTCATCAGGAATCCAGTGGAGAACACTCAGCACTAAGGGTCCTCGAGCTACAAAGTGCAGTGAGAAAGAGGTACAGAAGCGGCAAATTTTTGGAAGTCGAGGTCATTAAAATAGGAGGAGCATGTTCTCAGATCTATCACTTTTCTTTTTTTGGTGTAGGCAAAGTCCTCGAGCAAGTTATACCGCCTGAGGCAGAAACTTTGGAAATCACGTGTACCTGACTAACCCCGCCAATCAGAGGGCGACCCCCGTAGAACCTCACCCATTGTGGTCTTTCTTGCTTCGAATCTTTGTTTTAGTCTCTTCACATATCTTGCACTTCTACACCTATTCCCATCTTTTTCAGACTTTCCCACCTAAAATTATTTGTGTGTTGAAATCTGGGCGTGCACTCAAGGCACCTTTTCCTCTCTCTGCCTCTTGTCGCGGAAAGACCTAGTGCATGCCGCCTCGTCATATCCACAAAAACACCCGTCCCTTCTTCCCACCTCTTCCACAGGAAATCCTCTTTCCACCACTGCTTCTACCGTGGTGATCACCGAGTGTCGAACCCTTTGATTGAACCGGGTCCAGAGGGGTTTCAAATACTTTTTTTTTCTAATCCTTTCTTCAGCTCTTTTTTCCTTCTTTTTTCTCTTCCCACCCCACATCCTTCATTTCTTTGCACATCATGGACGCCCGTCAGGTGTTGCAGAGTACCCTTGCGCCAGATGCGGCTGAGCGTAGCAATGCCGAACAGCAACTCGCCCATGCCGCAGAGGTTGACTTCGTATGTGTCTCCCCTTTACCCCCTCTCGTCCTACCACAAGTCATGAAAGATTTCCCCTAGGATCCCAAATGCTGATACTTCTGTCGCCCGATAGGCCGCCTACCTCGTTACCCTCGGCCAGGAGCTCGCTAATGAGAGCAGCCCCGCTCACATCCGTGTCGCTGCCGGTATCGCTTTGAAGAACGCTTTCACTTTCCGGGATCAGGCCAAGTTGCGCGAAGTGCAGCTCCGATGGGCCCAGAGCATCAACGCCGAGACCAAGACACAGGTCAAACAGCTTGCACTCAAGACCCTGCATTCACCCGATGCTCGCGCTGGAAATGCCGCCGCCACACTGATTGTTTCCATCGCCGCTATCGAGTTGCCGCGTGGTGAGTGGGCCGACTTGATGGGCATTCTTGTCCAAAATGTCGCCAGTGGAAACGACGCGTTGAAGCAGTCTTCTCTCACTACCATCGGTTACATCTGCGAGTCGCAAGATCCCGATCTTCGCGCCAGCCTGACACAACACTCCAATGCTATCCTTACTGCGGTCGTCCAGGGTGCTCGGCGCGAGGAGCCGAACATGGATGTCCGTTACGCTGCTATCGCCGCTCTCAGTGATGCCGTGGATTTCGTGCGAACCAACATGGACAACGAGGGAGAGCGCAACTACATTATGCAGGTCGTCTGCGAGGCCACCCAGGCCGATGAGGTCCGTGTACAGGCTGCTGCATTCGGTTGCTTGAACCGCATCATGGGATCCTACTACGACAAGATGCGCTTCTACATGGAGAAGGCCCTGTTTGGCCTGAGCATCATGGGCATGAAGAGCGAGGAGGAGGAAGTCGCCAAGCTCGCTATTGAGTTCTGGTGTACTGTTTGCGAAGAGGAGATTGCCATCGAGGATGACAACGTTGAGGTATGTGCTAAGCGCACGAGCCCGAGTAGCTTTGGCCGTTTACTGACGTTATGTTTCTTATAGGCTCAGCAAGAGGGTGTTGAGGCTCGTCCTTTCTTCGGATTTGCTCGCGTCGCTACCCGCGAGGTTGTTCCTGTCTTGCTGCAATCTATGTGCCGACAGGACGAGGATGCTGGCGACGATGAGTACAATGTCTCCCGCGCTGCTTACCAGGCTATGCAGCTTTACGCCCAGTGTGTGCAGGGTGATGTCATCCAGCCCGTCGTGACTTTCGTCGAGGAGAACATCCGCAACGAGGACTGGCACCGTCGTGATGCCGCTGTCGCTGCTTTCGGCGCTATTATGGAAGGCCCCGAACCTAGCGTTCTGGAGCCTCTGATCAAACAAGCCTTGTCTGTTTTGCTTGGCATGATGGAGGATAGCTCCATCCCCGTCCGGGACTCCACTGCCTACGCCCTGGGTCGCGTGTGCGACTGCTGCCCCGAGGTTCTAGACCCCGAGGTCCACCTTCAGCCGCTTATCTCGTGTCTGTTCAACGGCCTCGCCAACTCCCCCAAGATTGCCAGCTCCTGCTGCTGGGCTCTTATGAACGTCGCAGACCGATTCGCTGGTGACGATGGCTCGCAGACCAACCCTCTGTCGAAGCACTTTGAGGACAGTGTGAAGTCCCTACTGACTGTGACCGAGCGGTATGTTTTCCTAAGTGATATCATTTTGATTACTTTTATCTAACGACCGTACAGACAAGACGCCGATAATCAGCTCCGTACCGCTGGATACGAAGTTCTCAACTCCTTTGTTATGAACTCTGCCAATGACAGCCTGCCCATGGTTGCAACTCTTTCGGATGTTATTATCCAGCGTCTTGAGCACACTATTCCTATGCAGCAGCAGGTCGTTAGCGCCGAGGACCGTATTCTCCTGGAGGAGATGCAGACTAGCTTGATCAGTGTCATTCTGGCCATCGTCCAGCGCTTCGAGGGCGAGATCAAGCCTCAGGCTGACCGTATTATGAGCGTGTTGCTTCAGGTTCTAACTACCGTTGGCGCCAAGTCGAGCGTGCCGGATGTCGTCTTTGCCACTGTTGGTGCTATTGCCAGTGCTCTTGAGGACGATTTCATCAAGTACATGGAGTCATTCAGCCCATTCCTGTATAACGCCCTGGGCAACCAGGAAGAGCCCGGTCTCTGCTCTATGGCCATCGGCTTGGTCAGTGACATTGCTCGTGCTTTGAACGAGAAGGTCCAGCCTTACTGCGACACCTTCATGAACCTCCTACTCAAGACTCTCCAGGTGAGATTGTTTCTCTCAGATATACCGTGGTTGACGTCCAATGCTGATCTCTCAAACAGACTTCCACCAACCAGCTCAAGCCTGCTATTCTTGAGACCTTCGGCGATATTGCCCAGGCCATCGGAACTAACTTTGATACGTACTTGGCGGTCGTTGGCCAGGTTCTCCAGCAAGCCTCCAGCGTCACCACCAGCGCCGACCTCCCATACGACATGGTGGATTACATTGTTTCTCTCCGTGAAGGCATCATGGATGCCTGGGGTGGTATTCTTCTGTCCTACAAGGGCACTCCTTCGAGTACGTTGCTCTTTACTCTCCACATAGATCCGACGTCAGCATGCTAATTAGATCGCAGTCACCCAACTCCAGCCTTTCATCGGGTCTATCTTCCAGCTTCTTCACATTATCTCCCAGGAGAGCAACCGCAGCGAAGGTCTGATGCGGTCTTCCATGGGTGTTATTGGGTATGTCTTCACCGCTTCTAGTTTCGATTTCATATACTAACTATTCACCAGTGATCTTGCTGATGCCTTCCCCAACGGCGAGCTCGCTGCCTACTTCCGCAACGACTGGGTCACCGCTCTCGTGAGAGAGACTCGCACAACCAGACAGTACAGCGAGCGCACAATTGAGACTGCCCGCTGGACCCGTGAGCAGGTCAAGCGCCAGATAAACATGGGTGCTGGCATGTCGTAAAGCCGCCGCTATGTCTCACGCGGTTGATTACAAGTGCTTCTGGTCCGATTCCGTCGCCCAAAGCGTCTGCCACTCACATCGGCCCTGTTGGCCTTCATGCCACAGGTCCTAGGGCCGCTTGAGCCCACACCAAATTGGCGCTCCTGATGTGTGCAGGGTAGCTGTCCCGTTCTCGACGTTGTCGAACCCGAGCGCTTGGCGATGGCCTCAAATCCCTCTCCCCTTTATTT